GCCGCCACAGCATGGCTTGCGAAGCAGTGTGTTGGTGCGTGCCCGGGATCCGAACTGGCGAACCCCGGGCCACCACAGTGGAGTGTGTGCACGTAACTGCTTGCGCCACCAGGCTGGCCCCTGTTTGTTTTTTTAGTGAAAACCATTTCCTAGAGGATTTTGGAATGCTTGATGTGGTTGGGGATGAGGATTAAATGCAAGTTAATTGAGTAACTGAACAACCTAATTGTAGAGTTCTGTAGGTTTCACATCAATTAATCTTGATTACTTATTCTCGTAAACCGTCCTCTAGAACAGTGTCTTAACACTGTGTCATGGTCCTGTGATGGGCTATGAAATCAATTTCAAAGGTCAAAACCAACTTTATTTTATTTTTAATGCTGTAGAGATGGGTAGAGAATACCAAAATGCATCACGCTAGTATAGGTAAACTCTGTGGCACTCATCTCTCATGAGTGTGTGTACTGGGTGTGATGTGTAATACATTTCTTCGTGTGGGTCATGGTCTAAAAAGTTGGGAAAACACTGCTCCAGGCCTAGGACCCCACTCAGTTCTGCATCTTCCTCCGCCCAGGCCAGCAGAGGCCCTCAGTGCTGGTGGGTGGAGCTCAGGGTGAAGCTTTTTAACTACCAGAGTTGTCAGTTTTTGTTGCAGAGAAATCTTCTGCACCAGGGGGTTGAATGCAATGACTTTATTACCAGGAATAAAAATATAATTACAAGTAGTTATAAGGGCGCATTCATAATAGATAAAGAAAAGTCTACATGTACACTCTGTTAGATAAGCAGTTAAATTGATTTGAAGGAGGTTTGAATACATTAGCCAGCCTTTTTTATAAGTACTTTTCTAATAGAAAAGTCCCTTTTCTATTAAAATCACCTTAAACTTTTCTTCGTTTAAATTTATGTTATAAATTTAACCAGGAATAAATAGCAGGAATAATCTAAACTACTGCTTTCTTTTTAGCATTAGTTATGCATTTAATTATTATGGAGGCACCAAATTTATAATCCTGGTTTTGCTCAGTTAAGGGCAGCATCCCAGGGGCATTCTAATTGATGGGTAGAAGCCCCCGAGAGATTAACAATCTTCTACAGATAATCCCCAGCGTAGGTAGATGATTCAAGAGTAGAACCTGATTGTCTCCAGAGCAGAGTATTTTCCTTTGATAAAGGAAAAATGTTGAAAAATGCTTCTACAAAAAAAAATTGTAAATCAGAAACCATCAAATGCTACCTAATGCTTTTTCCATACTTGGGGGGTGTATTTAAATACATCTTTTAGAAGAAAAATTTTTTAAAAAAGGGACATGAGTTAGAAAGAAAATTAGCTTTGGGGGACAAACAGACTAGCCACATGGTAATCTAGAGGACTGGTGGCTGCAAATGGCAGCTGGGTGCTTGTTCTTCAGTGGCGTAGCCCAGAGGGCAATGTGGCCTTTGGTAATATGATCACAGTTAAATTGTTTTAGCCAAAGATGAATTTCTCCTCTTCGGTTTCAAAGTAATCTTACTATCAAAGGAAGGCATTCCAATAAAACTGAAGCCTTAAAATACTAGCCTGTATACATTCTGCCCTTCTTATCCATAGAATGATATCAGTGGTAGGGAGGAATTGGCGTGACTTGGAGTCTTTCAATAGATTGCACAACTTCAATACCTGCTTGTTTCCTGTTTTCCCCATCGTTGTTCTGTGCAGTGACAGACCTGTAAACTAGACAGTAGATTCTGCTAATAGCTAAATTGCCTTTGAAATGCTGTAAGCATCCAAAGGACAGTGATTGTGCTCTGCTCGCTGACTTCCCCTCTAAGGCAGCAGGGTGGCCATGTATGTGGTGGGGGCGGGCACAGACGACTTGATGATAGTGATGATCTTATTTCATTTCAGCCCCCATTTTTGAGTTCTCATGTGTTCCTCTTGGGTTAGGATGAAGACTGCAATGGAAAGAACAGTTGCCATGAAAGTGAGCCACTGGCAACAACTGAGGCTGTGCACTACCTGTATATCCAGGTGAGGCCCTGGCATGCAGCTTGGTGACATAGCAACTCCCAGTAGTTGCTTCTGGGTGTGTCCCAGGAGACTAGCGCAAGATAATGGGCAGAAGAAGGCTCACTGGCACCACCAGAGATTAATTGGCCAGAGAGGATTGCAGCATGGAGACCCTTTCTCCCATCTTTGAATCTGTGCTTTCCTGTACCTTAGCAGGAAACCACATAGGGCGGTGGGTGGTTATGGGCTCTAGACTCAGGCTGTGTAAGGTCACATCCTGGATTCCCCGGTCATAGCTGTGTGAGCTCGGGCAAGGTTCTTCAGCATTCTATGCCTCAGGTTCCCCACCATAAATTAAATAATGGTGGCTATCTCAATGACTTGTGAAGAATAAATAAAATAACGTGAAGTCATTAGAACCATATCTGAGTTCCATAAACGCTAGACTGCATGTACAGAAACTCCACTTTGTCTAACAAGTTGAATCTGGACAAGTAAGGTATAATGCACACACATCCTTGTGTGTGCAGAAGAAACACCAACATGGCTTTAGGCAAAGTGGCTCGTCCTGGAACCTCTGGGGGACAGGAGGCACGGGCAAACCAGTTCCAATGAGATATTACTAAAGGGAAGCCTATAGGCTTTGGCTACAGGGACAGCATCCTGGATGGTGGTGAGCTCTGCCAGCAGAGGGACAGCCACAAACCAAAGAGGAAAATTTGCCTCTGCCCCAAGTGAACAAGACCGTGGATCATTATCAATGTTTTCAGTCATATCTGCACGTAGGCTGATCTTTAAATGTGAGATACAATACTGTGCGGAAGAAGGAACCCCTAGGCAAGTGTAGTGTTTCAAAAGACTAATTAGGTAGTTGCCTTCCTGGGGTTGGAGCTGGTTTTAGGTATTCCCTACCATAAACATCTTTGAGGTACCACTTAAACACAATAAAGCATTTGTCCCCCAAATCCCTAATTATTGAGTGTCAACTACGTGCCATTACTCTCTCAACAATTACAATGAAACAGAGGTACATAGAGGAGGTGCGTCCAAGGTGCAGTAGGATCACAATGTGGGAGTCAGAGGCCTCATGAGGCCTGGAGGATGAGTCAGAATTTGTAGGTGGTTATTCTGAGCATGAGAGGATATTTAAAATGAGATGTTCCTCTCTTTAAAAACAAAAAATCCTTCTTCATGAGAAATCCCAACTCTGGCACTGGTTTGAAACATATAGGCTACTTCCATCAATCGAATGCTGTGTGTGTTGGTTTAAGATTTAAATGATACTGCCTTGTTTTCTCAGACATTAATACACTGAAGAAGGGGTGAGAGAGAACCCCTTCTTGAATGTTTTGATATTTATAATATTTTGCTCTAGACTTGAAGGTCATTGTCATTAATTTAATGTACAAATGAGAAAGGCTAAAGACATCAGTAGGTTAATTAGCCCTTCTTAGAAATTTGGGTTTGGAAACAATCTTATAAAATAATAAAATTTTACTTAATTCTCAGTTTTTTCATATTATTTGTGACAGGATTTTAAACGAGTCAGTCTTATTTGTTTTTGATAAACAATAATATGAAAAATAAAATGATTATGTTGGGGTGCTGAGATTATGCATGTTTCCCCCAAATTTAAGACTGGTAGTTTCCCTGAAATTTAATACTGTTGGTTTCTTTGTTCAATTTTAAAAAATCAAGCCTGTCCCATAACTATTTAAAATCCATAGTACATGTTTTAGGGCCGGCCCTGTGGCTTAGCGGTTAAGTGCACATGCTCCGCTGCTGGCGGCCCGGGTTCGGATCCCGGCGCGCACCAACGCACCGCTTCTCCGGCCATGCTGAGGCCGTGTCCCACATACAGCAACTAGAAGGACGTGCAGCTATGACATACCACTATCTACTGGGGCTTTGGGGGAAAAAAATAAAATAAATAAAAAAAAATTTTAAATCCATAGTACATGTTTTAAAATGGAGGATTACATTAATTGCAGTCGTCCTCCTTAATTGAAACTCTGTATAATCGAATCCTGCCTGGTTTGTTCTTGTCCATAGATGGAGTACTGTGAAAAGAGCACTTTACGTGACACCATTGACCAGGGACTATATCGAGACACCATCAGACTCTGGAGGCTTTTTCGAGAGATTCTGGATGGATTAGCTTATATCCACGAGAAAGTAAACTTTACAACATTTCATATCTGAAAATTTATGTTTCCATAAAATTTATGACTGAATAAAAAAATCAAATATTGTGAGATTTGGAAAAAACTGAAATAAAGGGAAAACTATGGGTATATTGAAGTACTCTATTATTATAGGAAATAGAACAGTGTGTCAAAAGATAAGAAAATAGTATGAAGTATCAAAGTTCAAAGAACAATTGAAGGTTAGGACAGGGGTCAGCAAACTATGGCTCTGGGGTCAAATCAAACCCCCTAGCTGCGTTTGTATGGCCTATGAACTAAGAATGACTTTGACATTTTTAAATGGTCATAAAAAAATCAAAAGAAAAATATTTCATGACACATGAAAATTCTATGAAATTCAAATTTCATATTCATATGAATATATGAATTCAAATTTCATAAAGTTTTATTAGAACAGGGCCATGCTCTTTTGTTTACGTATTGCCTGCGGCTGTTTTTGTGCTACAACAGTAGAGTTGAGTGGTTGTGACAGACTGTATGGCCTGTAAAGCCTAAGATATTTACTCTCTGGTCCTTGACAGAAAAAGTTTTCCAACCTTTGGATCAGGAGGAAGTATTTGGACATGCATAGAACATGAGGACGATTCCTTGAGTAGCTTAGAATAAAGGGAGGGTATGATTAATACATGCCAAGTTATTTGATTCTAACTAACTTAGTGCTGCCCTTCCTAGGAACATGGAGAAACCAGAAAGTCATTTAGCGATGACAGAAATCAGACTGTGAGTAGCATAGCTTCCACATGGATAAAATGTCATTTTAAATCTCAAAATTGCCATTACAGTGTAAATGCTAATGGTCCAGCTTCAGGGTGAAACACTGCTTACATTTTAAAAATGGGATTGTCTAATGCTTTAGCTAGTATAAGTATGTTTTTTCCATTGCTTCAATTTTCCTTAACCTTAAAATGTTTATACTGTACCATATTTACACTAAAAAAGCCAGGACTGTAATTTACACATGTCTACTTTATGAATGATTTAGTAGAAGCAGAATTTGCAAGGTTGGAAATAAAAATGAGTTCTAATGATGGCCATTAGAACTCAATTACTGTGATATCATCCTGGGGTCCTAGAACCGTGCCCTGTGTGGTCTGCTCCTCTCGATCTAATTTGCTCAGCATCTGCTAATCATTTGCTAGGTATCTAACACTCTGCCACACTTAGAAATACAGAGAGGTGTGTGTATATGACACACCCCCTACTTGAGAGGGACTGCTTGCTTTTTGAGGGAGCCAAAACTTACCTTCGTGTAAAGGTAAAAGAGATCATCCAATAATGTGTTTTTATTACATTTAATGATCTCCTGTAATACCTGCAATGATAAGCATTATGAGGATGCCGTTAGGAAGAGGAGAAAGCAGTGTTCACGTAATAAGTAATCATTGAGCACCTACCATGTGTGCTGGGGATGCAAAGTTGAATTGTTAGAATTACAATTTAAGTGGAAGCCTTCATGAAAGAGCTGGCACTTGTAAAGGTTGTATAATTCAAATAGTGGAGAAAAGCAAGAATTTCCTAGGCAGGGGAAATAGCGTGAAGACAGGAATAGAAGAAGGAATTAAAATGGTATGTGTCTCCCTGACCAGAGAGAGATTCTGTGATGCAGCAGAGAGAAAGATAATTGTGAGCCTGGTAGAGGGGGCCCTGGATGCCACAGGGATCCATTTGGATTGGACCTGATCAGCACCACAGCAGGTAGACTGGGAGATGGTGGCAAGGTCCTTGGCAGGACAGTCGAGAGCCATGGCAGAGGCCAGACAGCCTGGACCAGCGTGGCCTGTGGGAGAAGACCTCATCTGACTTTCATCCCTAGGTTGGCAGTTCAAATAAGGAAACAGGTATAACTATAAACTGTGCTTGGGGAACAATTGTTGGTTTCTTTGCTCTCTTCCATCAGGGAATGATTCACCGGGATTTGAAGCCTGTCAACATTTTTTTGGATTCCGATGACCATGTAAAAATAGGTGATTTTGGTTTGGCGACAGACCATCTAGCCTTTGCTGTGAGTATTTTTAAAATTAGTCTGTGTCTGAAAAATGGACCCATATGCCTTGATAATTGTGAAAGTGTTAGAATGCAGGATAATGAGTTCACTGAACTCTGCTGTGTAATCCCCAGGAAATTATGCAGGTCTGAAGGGACGAGCTGAAAATGATCTTTTACGCTTTGAAATTGTGAATACATTTTAGTGAGTGTATTCCACTTGAGGGACATTAAATTATTGGTTTGTAGACAATATTTAGGTCAAAGGCATATGATACTTTATGAAATAATTGGGTATTTTGTCCTACTGTGCAAAGTACTAGGCTAGATGATTACACTTGAGGGGCTTCTAGTTAGTTTAAGGAAGTAAGGATCAAAGAACATAAAACACTAGGAGAACCAGTCCTAGGCAGCATATAATTCAGAAGGTGTTGGTTCTTCACAAAATTGTAGAATAGTTGTTCGACATACAAAGCTAAAATAATGTGACAGGAGGGAAATAGTGACATAAGAGCAAAAGACAGGAGAAAATCTACCTATGGTTATGAGGATCAAGAAAGGCTATATAAAGAAAACAGCATTTCGAATGGGCCTTAAAGGATGGACGGGAGTCCAGCAGGCCAATATTAAGGACAGGCCATGGTGACACCAAGATAAGAGATTGCAGAGAGAATAAACAGCATAAGCAAAGGTCCTGGGGTGAGCTCACATGATTGTTTCAAGGCCAGCATGTTGTCTGGTTGGCTGAAACTATGTGGTGTAGGGGAGCAGTGAGAGAACATGCTAGAAGGTCAGGGATTCTTGTAGGTGGCAGGCCTTGAGTACGAGAGGAAGTTTTACTTAATATCCTTCTAATAAGCCAGAGTTATTAGGCACTAAAATCTGTAGTAAATGCAGTTAATTCTAAGGGTGGTCAGAGAAAGAAGATAAGATTTGGATTAATGGTGACAACACCCATAGAGACTAAATTAGAAGGTGAGGTTAGAAGGAGCAGAGAAGGAGGAAATGGAAGGGGACAGTAAGGACGTGGTCCTGACCAGAGCAGCGGGGAGTCTGAAGAGTGCTAAGACCAAGGAAGGGCCAGATGGTGGGGCTCCTGATCCCCAAATAAAGACTTTAACTTGGTATCTGGAGGCTGTAGTATAGTGAGGTGGATGAGGAGGCAGGCTCTGGAGGCCCGCTGACCTGGGCTAGAATCCTTGGGCAAGTCAGTTAACCTCTCAATACCTCATCTGTAAAATGTGCCTAATACTAGTACCTGCTCCAGAGAGTGGTCACCAGGATGAAACAAGAATACAGGTAAAGCCCTGGGGCAGTGCCCGGCCTGAGAGTGTTAGAGCTGCTGTTACTGATGGCAGTGAGGTAATGGGAATCTCCAGAGTGATGTCAGAAAAATCGTGGTTTAGCGTGATGCATGGGACAGCGCTGCAGCCACAGACAGAGTGGAGGAAGTGAGGCTGCCCAGGAGGTGTTAGCAGTGATGGTAGAATAGCTTTGGTGACCTGCCTCTAGGAAAGAAGAGTAAAAATTGACCTAGATAAAGTAAGAGCAGCGGGAAAGTTAGAAAGTGAGTTTGTTGATATACTCTCTCTCTTCCTAGTAAATAGATTGTGTTTGGGCATTTGCAATATGAAGATGAATTGGTTTCTATAAGCATTTGGGGGTTTCTGCCATGAGGGAAGAGTTCTACAGTGAATTGCCCTTCTCCTTGATTTCGTTGGGTTTCCAGGCAGCCCTGCATTAGTGGGCTAACTAAATTAAAAATACTTAAAGCTCAGAAAAAGCATTATTACAGCTATTCTGGTGTCTGTGTAATATTTTTCAGTCAGTCTTCCTTTAGAAATGGATAAGCCATTCCTATGGAATAGTGTAATATTGTAATGTGGTATTTGGCTTACTTGTATTTTAGGCTGATGGCAAACAAGATGAGACATCAGATCACTTGATGAAGTCAGACCCTTCAGGTAAATCCAGAAGACTGTATATTTAATTAGTGTATTAAAAGACAGACCACAAAATTTCTTTTTTTCTCTCTTATGTTTTTTACATAAAAAAAGCTGTACATATATAATGTATACAACCTGAGTTTACAGATAAATATACACCCAGGAAACCATCACTGATCTATGCCAGAAACACATCCATCACCTCCAAAAGTTTCTTCCTGCCCTCTTATTTATTATTATTATTATTATTAATTTTGTGATAAGAACACTTAAGATCTACCCTTTTAGGAAAATTTTAAGTATGTAATACAGTATAAAATTTCTTAATCTGAAACCTGTTTCTCATTTGTAAAGATTTTATTCTAAAGCAAATTATAATTATTCATTAAATTAACAAAATTATGAAAATGCTTTAATTTTTTTCTCTTTTCACTATATTAATTGTTCTTTGAACTATAAGAAATTCGAGCTTCAGTTAGAAGAATTGGCTCCCGTGGATAGACAGTTATGCTTTGTCCCCACATGGTAATGTGAGGTGACCTCAGGACCTGGGCCATCTGGGGTCTTCCTGTCTGGCACTGCCCCTCTGCAACAGCAAAGACATTCTGTGTGGAACAGAGTGTGTGGCCATACGTGACTTAGAGTTAATCACTCGGTGAAGTGCACGCTGCTTCTTCCTGTGAATAGTGTGAACAGTTAACTTGAGTGAGATCATGCCTCGCTCTTAAGAAACATTTTTTTTTTTTTTTTGAGAAAAATTTGCCTGTCTCTAAGCCCTATTATTGGAAAGCCTTCCCTCTGCCTTCTTCCATGCAGGCCATTTGACTGGGATGGTTGGCACTGCTTTATATGTAAGCCCAGAGGTCCAAGGAAGCACCAAATCTGCATACAACCAGGTAAAGGGGAAGCTTTTTGGGGAGAAGGAAAGATCTCAAGAGTGAGATAACAGTAAGAACATCAAGATCACAACATTTGGGGTTTAGTTGCCAGCTGAAATAGGAACATTCATTCACTCATTTATATCCACATGTATATTGAGTGACTGCTCCACACAGGACATGTGGTACCCAAGGTCAATGACTGAAGCTGGCACTGTTACTGCCAAGGAACTTAGGTCCCTCCATCCATCCAATGAAGATTTGAACTAACCCAGTCCTGGGCCAGGCCCCAGGAATACAGAGAACAAGGCAGTCGAGTAATAAGACAAATGTCTTATTCCAGCCCTTGGGGAGCTTATCCATTGGTGGATGAAACAGACAATAAACAAGTGAAAAATAAAAAAAAAATCACAAATTGTGATAAGAGTTAAGAAGAAAAGAAATGGAGTCCAGTGACTAGAGAACACTAGGGAACATCATCTGTAGATAGACTGACCACAGAAGATCTCCCAAGAGGATGGCTTTTAGGATAAAGGAGGAGAAGGATAAGGCTGGAGCATGCCTGGGAGAGAAGAGGGGTAAGCAGAAGAAATAGCATGCATAAAGAGAAGACTCTGAGTGAGAGCTAGCTTGGCACCTTTAAGACAGTCAAAAAGAAGGTCATTGTGGCTACAAGCGTGGTGAGCAGTGGAGGAGAGGCGTGAAGTGAAGCTAGAAGAAAGGCAGGGCTCAGGTGATGCAGGGCCAACCAAGTCATGATAAGGAGTGTGCACAGGGAGCCACTGAAGAATCTAGAGTGAGAGTTCACTCTAGCTGCTACTGGAGGCTTTGCAGAAGTCCGGGTAGAGTGGCGATAGCTGGAATCAGAATGGTAGCTGTAGGGATGGGGAGGTGTGCTGATGTAGGATACATTTTGGAGGGGAATTGACAGGTTTTCCTAATGGAGTAGATGTTGGGTGAGGAAAAGGAAGGAAACAGGACAATGCTCAGGTTTCTGCCTGGAGCAGCGGGGGAAGGGTAGTTGATGGAGATGAGGAAACCTGGGAAAAGACATGGGAGAAGGAGGAGAAGATGGCAGGAAAATTCCATTTGGGGCATGTTAAGTTTGAAATGCTTGATGATGAAAAATCCAATTAAAGGTCCAGTATGTTGTTAGAGACTCAAGACTTGAGTTCAGAAGAAAGATTGGCTGGGCTGGCCCCATGGCTTAGCGGTTAAGTGCGGGTGCTCCACTGCTGGCGGCCAGGGTTCGGATCCCGGGCGCGTACCCACTCACTGCTTCTCCGGCCATGCTGAGGCCGCGTCCCACATACAGCAACTAGAAGGACGTGCAGCTATGACATACAACTATCTACTGGGGCTTTGGGGGAAAAAATAAATAAAATTATAAAAAAATAAAAAAAATAGATGATCACTTATTTAAAAAAAAAAAAAAAAAAGAAGAAGAAGAAAGATTGGAGTCAGAGGTGTAAATCTGAGTGACCAGCACACAGATGGGATTTAAAGCCATGAGACTGGATGAGATCACGTAGGGCAAGAGTGTAGAGCTAGATTTTAAAAATATGTTAGCAGGCACTTCACATCAAAGCATATTTTCTGGCTTGTGCTGGAAACTCAGGCCTGAGTTTTGGTTCTGACAGGGAGCACTGGGAAGTGACATCAAGTTGACAGAGACCTCTAAGTACCCAGTGAGGGTGTGGGGAGAGGAACGCACACACGCCATGGGTGCGGGAGAGCACCTTTAGTGCCGTCTTCCTGAGTTCAGTTTGCAAGAGCGTAATGAAATCCTTACAAGGGCTGTACCCTTTGGCAGCAGTTTCACCTTTTGAAATGTATCCAAAGGAAACAACCAGGGACGTCCAAAAAGATTGTTGTAAAAGGAGATTGTCTCATCATTATTTATAATAGTGAAAAATAACAGTGTTTAAAAATAGGGAACTGGTTAAATAAATTATGGGACTTCCATGTAATTGAATACTATATGTCATTAAAATCATGTTTTAGAAGCCTGTTTTAGAAAAATGTAATACTGAAAAATATTCTCACTATATTAAGGGAATAAAATTGTGGTTCTAGGTTTTATAGTTTGGACGTGTGTATACATAAAAAACGCACAAAACGGGCCTATCAATAGTAAATATCCTTGAGTGGTGGGATTATGGGTGATTGCTATTTTGTTCTTTGTGCTTTTCTACATGTTCCGTATTTTCTGCAGCCAACAGGTGTAGGAAATACCACAATGAATGTTTGTTTTTAAGACTTCAGAAGTCACTGGTGATAATTAGGGGGGATCTCCTATTAATCCCTGAGTCCATATTCATTCAGGAGTTGTTCTTAAAAGTGGCTTCTGTGTCTGTGTGTGGTTTACCATGAGCAGCCTCCCCTGAGCTGGACCGCGCTCCCTTCTGAACATCGTCTTACCCTCCTCCTTTTTTACTTGCACTTCCATATAGGATTAGTCATGTGGTCCTTCTGATGTGCCCGTCATCCGTCCTCATTGGTATGGCTTTGCAATCAGTAGCTGACCTTTGCTGCCAGCTAAAGATTTGAGTCTGTTTCACTTTTGAGATGATTAGTAAAGATGCAAATCAAAGCAAATTCTTATGACCGGTCTCAATTGTCCTTGCTCTTTAGCAGTTATTCTCAGTGTTGGCCAGTGGTTATCTGTGTCTGTGTGTATAGCTAATCCAGGTATAATTAATTTTCAAGGAAAATTTCGAGAAGTGATGCCAAATATTTTATCTATACTTTAAACCTATAATTTTTTTTTTAGAAGAAATCAAATTTTTTCTAGTATGGCTTGTTTTTCGTTTATACAAACTTTATTCCAACTAAGAGTGCTCATCCTATACTTCCCTGGTAAATTATACTTTCATATCAAGGCTCTCTAAATACAGTTCTTTTTCCTCCTCAGAAAGTGGATCTCTTCAGCCTGGGAATTATCTTCTTTGAGATGTCCTATCACCCCATGGTCACAGCCTCAGAAAGGATCTTCGTTCTCAACCAGCTCAGGGATGTATGCATCAGCTGTTTTTGTGCCTCAGTTTCCAGTAACCTGAATCTTGGCATTGACGTCAGAATTCAATGGAGGGTATTTTTCTGGTATTTGTAAGACAGAAGAGGTGGTCCTCCTGTAATTTTCTGTATTTCTAGAAAATGGAAGTCTGCCTTTGCTTGCATACCTCCAATGATGAGAAACTTTCTCTAGTTTTATTTTTGGAATCATACTTGGAGAAATTGCTAGGTTACAGTTACTTTTTAAAAATTATTCTGAGAGATTTACTCTTGATTTTAGAACAAAGGAGGAATCCAAAGATTTTGCATGATATCAGTACAGTTACAGCAGTGGGAATGCATTATAAGGATAATGGATGTTTAGTTCTAGAAATTAAAGGTTCCAGCTGAACAGACCTGGTGTAGTAATGCCTAAACAATACCGCCATGACCAGAAGTTAAGAGGGGCCTGGGAAAAATATCAGCCACTTGAATTTTTTTCCCAGTGAAATTTCCATTTCTGTTCTTGGAATTAATTCTTTCCTCTGTTATTGCCTAAACTAAAAGGGGCTAATGTTAACAGTGTGTGAGGTCAAGAATGCCAGGGAGAAACGGCATTAAGATGAAAGGGGAAGGTAAGGTTTGGGTGAGGGTGATGTAGATTTACATATTCATGAGCAAGAGATGGGGCTTCCGCAGGTGTGTCCATTAGGTTAAATCATACGCACCCTGATGAAGAATACTCCTCTAGATATTTTGGAAAAACAGTTGAATTATTTTACTTCCAGTACAGTAAGGACAGCTGGGTTCATAAAGTACAGGATAGATAAAGTGGTTACTATGTCCTTGCCTTGACCCAGAGTGCTCTTAGTATTATGTCTTCAATGAAGTGCCTTTCTTTAGTCTAAAATTCATATTTGTTCCTTCATTTCAAGAACATCTAATCTGTCAAGTTAATATTATGATTGAGGTCTTATTTACCAGGAAGGTGAGAACTTTTCGGGAGGTAGAGTTTTCAGTGTTAATGTTTTTTGGTGTTTTTCCCTTTTTTCTTCTGTGTGTTTAATGAAGCTACTTTGTCTTTTCTGAGGCCATTAGATTTTAAAATACTTTGTCCTCAGATGAGGCGCTTTCTATTACCTATAGTGTCATTTGGGTAACATTTGTATTAAGATAATATGTACATACTTGGAAGAATGGGCATTGAGTATCAAGAAGGTATCAACTCAGTCTTTTCTTGTTAGCAAATTTTCATTCTGTATTTGATTTTCTTACCTCTAGTGAATAAATGCTTACACTATGGCAGTTTGCCACGCTCTTGCTGATTTGCATATAATATTCTTTTAGCCCACTTCGCCTAAGTTTCCAGAAGACTTCGATGATGGAGAGCACACAAAGCAGGTAATTTTCTGATGCTTTAATTACTGTGTCTTCACTCTTGCATTTTAATTACTATATTTTTTCTCTTTCAATTAGTAATCTTCTGTCATTCATTCTCTTGTGTCCTGGGAACAACATGGGAAGAAATATCAAAAGATGAAGTACTTAAAATGTTATTAGACTTGAAATACACCATAAAAATGCCAAGGGCTAGCATAGAAGGTTAACAAACCACAGGGTTCTTTTGTGTGGTTCATTGTGCTTTTGAAGTGCTATTTGGAACCTTGGCTTAGATGTTGAAAAAAAGAAAATGCTTTTATAGCTCATTGTTTTAGATAAACCTTGGAACTTTAAGAAAAGAAAAATATAATTTAAAACAATAATTTTGGGTCAGCCCCGTGGCTTAGCGGTTAAGTGCGCGCGTTCCGCTGCTGGCGGCCCCGGGTTAGATCCCGGGCGTGCACCGACGCACCGCTTGCCCGGCCATGCTGAGGCCGCGTCCCACGTACAGCAACTAGAAGGATGTGCAACTATGACATACAACTATCTACTGGGGCTTTGGGGGGAAAAATAAATAAATAAAAATTATTAAAAAGAAAAAAAGAATCTCCCTACAAAATAGTTATTAAAAAAATAATAATAATAATAATTTTGTTCTGTTTTGTGGTTAAAGTAGCTCAGATTCTGAAAGGGAAGACTAGACAGTCTGATGTTACAGTATTTTAAAGCAAAATAATTTCTGCTCCCTCCTATAAATATCTGTGTTTGTGTATGTAACTCATGTCACAGGTTAATATTGGCATCCAGCTAAAATGGAAGAAGAATTAGTGAATTTGTGTATTGTGCTTCTGGTGTGTGTTTCTTCTCAGTGCTGGTTGTTTGTCTTGGTGAAGCTTTCTGTGGTTAATACTCTTGTCATATGGAAGTTTATTCCTTAGATTGACTTTTCTTAACAATTATAATCAAGGCGAAATCCCTTATTTAAATTATTAATGTTGAGAACAGAAACCTAGCTAGAACATTGCATTAATTTGCTATTTTTTGCTTATTGGTTATGTTTCTGGATGGGCAAGTCACTTTTCTAGACTTTCATTTTCCTCACCTGTGAATATAGGGATAACGTACCCTTTATTTATATCAGCATTGACATAGTGTTTACCATGGTGTTTATGTATGGCTAGAGGGATCTGCTCTGCTTCATCTGTCTAATTAGTGAAGAACCATTAGAAAAGACATTGAGTCGTGTTTCTACTTCTTTTGTTAGCTGTTATTATTTATTTGAACTGAGTCGTTTCCTGTGTTTCTAGATGTCATAAGTAAATGTTCATTTCGTAGCCTTTCCCTATAACAAGGTCAGTCTTGCTCAGTATTTCCACATGTTGGCAGCTGTGATGGCACGGGAACTTTATTAAACTACAAACACGAGACCAGCTATACAGACCATTTCTCGCAATGACAATGCTCTCCTATCACAGGTACCTACTAGGTACCCTTGAGCATTTGCGTTTGGATTGTGTAAAGTTGGCGCCCAAACCACAACAACTACCACCTCCCACGTGACAGTCGTTGCTTTTTATCTGAAAAGAGGCAGCATAGAAAATGCTTATAGACTGAGTATACAGTTTTTGCCACACACAGAAATGAAGCAGTATAACAGGGTCTGTTTTGCTGAATGGGGTATTGTTTTTACCGGTTTAATTTAACATAACTTTTCATAAAAGTTGCATCACGTCAGTTCCTTTCTTTACATGAAAAGTAATTACGTGTGTTTGTATTTTAGCCTAAGGCAAAGGTAGGAGTTGGGGGAAGGGGGGAAGTATATTAAAGATACATAATTAGAAAATGCTTAATAAGGTTTGTGTAAAAACTGAGATTTTCTGATCTCAAATATTCCTCTAATTCCTTATAAATCCTTATTATAAACAAGAGAATTAAAGAGTCATTAAGGAACCTTTCAAAGGTTTAGATAGCCTTCAAATAGTGCTCTGCTTAATGAGGTAGTAGCTGTGAAGGTATAATAAATGAGACGTAAATCAAGAGAATTCAAGGGAACGGTTTCAATACAGATAACATAAATGGAGAAGGAAAAATAAGAACAAGGTGTTTTACACTGCTTTAAGGATTCCAGATTACACGTTATAATTTCTACTAAAATTAGACATCTAAAGATATTTGTTTTATGTTCTCACACCCTTTTTATTACAGTATTTTGTGCATTTAGGAGGCCTAAGTTCTGCCTCTATGTAGTTGTTGAATTGAGGATCTTTTTGGTCATTTATGATGTAAAATATAAAAAGGGCCTCCCCCTTTTAAGAAATACTCATATTGTTGTACAACTCTACGGTCATAATGAAGTGCAGGGGAAAAAAATGACAAATTCAGAGATTTCAGAAATACCAACTAAGCACAGGAAGCATAGTGTCTTTTCTTTGAGCTGAACCAACCACCGGCTTGTCAGGAGAACTCCTGAGCATCATCCATTGCATCCTATCCCCAGTGGGCCTGGGTTTTGTTGTAGAAATCGGTCATCTCCTGGCTGTTGAACCACGATCCAGCAAAGCGGCCCACAGCCACAGAGCTGCTCAAGAGTGAGCTGCTGCCCCCACCCCAGATGGAGGAATCGGAGCTGCATGAAGTGCTGCACCACACCCTGGCCAACGTGGATGGGAAGGCCTATCGCACCATGATGGCCCAGATCTTCTCCCAGCGCATCTCCCCTGCCATCGATTATACCTACGACAGCGACATCCTCAAGGTGGGTTTGAGCCAGGCTTCAACAGAGAGCTTAACCTGGTTCACAAAAGGATCAAGTCAGTTCCTTATTTCCCATGGATTCCTTTAATGCCTCTAACACAAATTCTTAATCTGAGGTCTGTATGTGGAAAATGTGTGCATATACATTATTCTGGGAAGAGCCACACTTTTATTCACTTAACTTGAAGGAGTTCAAGTGACCCATCCCCCTCTCCACCCACCCAAGAGATTAAGTAGTGCTTTTAAAGACTGAGCCCCAGCCCTGCTGCACAGAGCTGAAAACATCCAGCCAGCTCAGATCCCCATCAAGTAGTTAGTAGTTTCCAATGCCGGCTGTGCAGCAAAGTCACCTGAGAGGTCCTTTGACAATGCAGATGCCCAGGCCCTACATCCGATCTAAGTGGCTTGGAATCTCTAGGTGAGGCACTTAAAGAATCTGTTTTAAAAGCTCCCAGGTAGTTTCTGAAGCATAGCCAGGTTTGGGAAACTTCAGCGTTGTCTTTAAAAAAACAAAAAAATCAGAAACGGTCTAAGGCAATATAGCAAAGTGTTAAAATTTGATCAAATTGGGTGAATGAGTAACAGATATTTGTTATTCTCTTTATGTTTCTGCTTGCATAAAATACGATATAATTTTAAAAGAGTAGTAGAGGAAGTGGTGGTAAGATTTGTGAAAGATCGGTATAGGTTTCAGGGGCAAATGGTTTTTGCTGTCTGGCAGTATTAGAAAGGTACTTATGGTTTATAGGTGACTTTTTAATTTTTGTCTTTTTGCTTATCTGTTGTTTCTAAATTTTCTATAGTGAAAGGGTACTTTTATTATAAAAAATGAAAAAGCAAGCTGTTTACAAAATATGTAAATGCCCTGTAGCTTTCAAGGGGCCCTCTGTGAATCACCTTAGTATGTGGGAGGGGGCCTGATGCCCTTAGATGTTTGATTGCTCCACAGCCTCCCCGAGAGTCCTGGGGAGAATGTGTGTTTGACTAGCTCTCTCTGAAGGGCACATAGCAGCGTGGTTGAGATCTTGGCCTCTGAACCGAGGCAGCCTTCCTCAGGCAGGATGTGTTGTAAGACATGTGGTTTCTTCCACCCTGAATATATTCAAAAAGGGACTGACTTGTTGAAATGTCTTTTGTGATCCTGGGAATAAGCAATATAATGCCTATTGCAAGCCACACATTAGTATTTTAGGAGATTCCCTTGATTAGGCTTTGATGACATTTTAATTGGTCATATTTTAGGGCAACTTCTCAATCCGTACAGCCAAGATACAGCAACACGTATGTGAAACCATCATCCGCATCTTTAAAAGACATGGTATGTCCTGTTTTAAAAATCACATGCCTGGGCCGGGCCCGTGGCTTAGTGGTTAAGTGCGCGTGGTCTGCTGCTGGTGGCCCGGGTTCGGATCCCGGGCGCGCACCAACGCACCGCTTCTCTGGCCATGCTGAGGCCGTGTCCCACATACAGCAACTAGAAGGAGGTGCATCTGTGACATACAACTATCTACTGGGGCTTTGGGGGTAAAAATAAATAAATAAAAATTAAAAAAAAAATCACATGCCTTCTCAAGTGATGTGTTTTAAAAACATCATTAAGAAGTACTGTTAATGGATTTGGGTGTAACCATACTTTACTATTAAATTCGGTTACAAGCAATTGACATGTGAAATTTAAGCTAATTTTGACAACGTGGCTTATTGAGGAGAAACAGACTTGAATATTAGAACCTTGCTACTAAAGTACTGTTGGTTTGTGGAGTCAGAAATATGACTATATCAGCAAACTTAACCTTAGATGAGCTCTCCATTACTAAATTTAAAGATTTGAAGATAGACTGATAATGATTTCAACAGTCCCAGCAGCAGATCACTTAACTGTCGGGTTTGTGTTCATTTTAAGTTGCCTCCTAGGAAGAACGAGAGCCTGATGATTAGTTATTTTTTGTGATTTGGTGTAGGAGCTGTCCAACTGTGCACTCCACTACTGCTTCCCCGAAATAGGCAAATATACGAGCACAACGAAGCCGCCTTGTTCATGGACCACAGCGGGATGCTGGTGATGCTTCCTTTCGACCTGCGGGTGAGGCTGGCAACGCTCTGCTGACAGTCTGGATGCCATGTCTGGTCACGGGGGTGGCATCAATGTTAAAGGATTACCTCCACCAATCATTTTTTTCCACTAGGCTTATATTTAAATGTCACCTTTAGGAAATACATGCTTAAGGGAGTCATCAAGGTGAGGGCATTACTGGGATTTAGTAAACTTTGACCCTGTGTACATCCACCTTGCTAATAGCGCAAGTGTTTTTGGCCCTAGCAACTGGAACCCTGCATTGTAGGTGACACATCTGCACCTCAGTGTGAAGCTCTGCTGAGTGACCATAGCAGGCAAACCTGGCCAACTCACACAAATAAAATGGAGTTTTTTCTTTACTTCCTGGCTAGATCTTCAGTAACTGCCTAACATGTTAATGTCTAGAACAATTAAATTCTGTAACAGCAAGTGTCTTCTGCTAGTTGGGTATGCTGAGTTTGCTCATGCCTGCCTTCTTCTGATCCCCGGGGTTCCCTTTGACAGCGACAGTCGTTCTTACCAGTTGTTCACTCACACAGTGTTGGTACTAACAAGCCCATCTGTAGCATGTACATGCATAAGACAGACAGGAGGTTAATACCCTGATGTACAGAGAGCACTTACAAGTAGAGAGAGGAACAAAGGATATAACAGGCAGTTCTCAAAAGAGGAAATGCACAGGGCTGGTAATCTTCTGGAAAGATGTTCAGCCTCACAAATAATAAGGAAATGCAAAGCAAAGGTATCTCAACCTCACCCAAAAATAGCAAAAATAGTTAATATCCAGAGATGACAAGGGTGTAGGAAAATAGGTACTTTCATATGTTGCTGATGGGAATGTAAATTGCTAAAGCTTTAGAAAAGTAATTTGAAAGTATTTAATAAAATAAAAAGAATTTTTGATGACATACTATACCCTTTGAACCAGCAATTCCACTATGAGGAATTTATTTACATAAATAAAAATACAGTGATATGTGAATATTAAAGGGATGTTCATTACCATATTTTTGTGGCGGTCAGAAACTGAAAACGGCATGGTAATCAGTAGGAAAATGGTTGAATAATTTGTTATAGAATGTTAACAAGGTATAAGATCAAAATACATATGTATTTAGATACATCCATATCTATATTTGATGTATAGAAATGTCCATGGTAAATTGTTAGCTGGAAAAAAAGTGTGTTTCACAGGAACTCTAATATGATCCCCTTTTTAATATAGAGAAAGAAAGAAAAGTTTAAAAAACAACGAAGTGTGTGCATAAAGTGCACTGTGTGTTTGCATGCATGTGGAATGTGTGAGGTACAAACATCCCTCACATGCATGTTTGTGTCACTCTTGAACCTTTGCCCGTATATTTTTGGAAGGGGATGTGGAATCAAGGCATTTTCTTTTTTTCATACCTATATTGTGTGGCTTATTGTAAGAATGTGTGTTGCTTTTATGGTTTAAGAGGAAATTCCTTCCATATTCGTGGCTTCTGTTTTTCTTTTACAGTAAGTAAAGTGATTTGGGATTATTCTGAGTGAGAGGTGAATAAATAGCATATCAAATATTTAGGCTCTGTTGAAGAAAGAGTAGAAGTACAAATATTTACATAGCTATGCTTAAAAGTGGCTTCTTATTCTCTAGACATTAGGAAACTAAAGTGTAGATTTTTAAACATCAGCTCTCTTTCTGTGAGCTGATATACAATCCCCAAAAATAAAAAGAATTTGACTCATTAGTTAATGATACTGTATCAGATCTCTTGGGACAATCTGACAATGGTTTTATAAATAGTGGTAGTTATTAGTGGGTGGTTATTATGAGAAAGATCGATAGGAAAATCAGGAAATTCACCATAAGAAAGAATACTCATTTGATTGTGTTATCATAAATGATGCTTAAAAATTCACAGGTAACCAGATAACTTGCACTGATTTTAATTTGGCGTAATAAAACTTGGCAGAGTGTATTTAACTAAAAGTGAATTTTTCTCAAACTTAAAAAACTAAGAAATGCCACAATGAATAGGGTTGGTGGTATGTCCCGCAGTGGGGTCTACTGCTGACTGAAGCCCTCAGGAACATTTCAAGGAGTGTGAATGACGAGCAGTGCACGACTTCGTGAATATACTAAAACCACTGATGTATGCTTAAAAAGGGTAAACTTGATGGTATGTGAGTTATATCTCAATAAAGCTGTTATTAAAAAACCAAAAGGAGTATGGTAGTTGGCACATCTTGACATTGACCTTTGAAACTTTATTTTTCAGGTTCCTTTTGCAAGATACGTGGCAAGAAATAATATACTGAATTTAAAACGGTGAGAAACGATCGGAGTTTCCTTTGGCGGATGTAGGAAAGAAACCAAGGAAGAATGTTTTATCTTCTGTGATCCTTACATAGTAAAGAATTTGGGGTTTAAAATATTGAGCTTGGAATATGGTCGAAAAGCCCAGCCACAGTACCCCTTTCTATAGGGTGACGAGGACTGTCGGCCTCCTCTTTAGAATGAATGTAGCAGTTGAGAGGGTACCCTGAAGCTCCCGCAGTCCATTCTGTGCCTTCTAAATGTCGCCAGACAACATAACTAATTATTTTCACAAATGGTTGCTTGAAGAAAACATCTGGCATCTGGCTGTTCTTGATCTCTGATGGCCCCTTTTAAAATTTAATTGAAGGGACAATTGGCCAATGGTCTCTGTGTGAAAACTGCCTACACAGGTAATGGAACAAAAGCTGCTTGTAGAGAAGTGGAGTAAACCCAGCACGAGTGCTGAACACTGAGGACCTCCAGGCCCTTAGCATGGGGAAAGGTTTTCTGTACATGCAGATGCCACAGGGCTCTGACGCTGAGATCTTCATAAATTGGAGCAGTATTTTGTCAACAAGGCACCCCATTTTAAAGCTCCTTTCCTCAAATGAAATGAAAGCTCTTTACGTGCTTTTCTTCTCAGCTGCAAATGAATAATTAATGGTCAAAGTCCTAAGGTCTGGATGTCACTATGTAGAAAGCAAGCACTTAAGGTAAAATTACTGTTTTTGTGTAATTTCATTTCTATTTCAGACCTTAAAAAAAAAAAATTAAGCCCCATAGTTTAATAGTGGGAAAACTAGGCATTGGACCCTAGATCACAAGGTAAGACTGTTCTGGGCAAATCTGTCTTTCAGCTCTCTTGGTCATACCACTGATTATTTTTTCATATTTGTTTTTTTATCTTGTTCAATAATCTCTTATACATATTTGATTCCAGTAAACAATGACCTTAGAAATCTGGGTTTCTCTCTACAGATACTGCATAGAACGTGTGTTCAGACCTCGCAAGTTAGACCGATATCATCCCAAAGAACTTCTGGAATGTGCATTTGATATTGTCACCTCTACCACCAACAGCTCCCTGCCCACTGCTGAAATCATCTACACTATCTATGAAATCATCCAAGAGTTTCCAGCACTTCAGGTTCCTTTCCATTTTCTAACTTTCTGAGATTATCCCGCTAGAGTCCTTCACTAAGTGAAAGACCACAGAACTGTTCCTCAGTTTGTGTGGGCAGTGAACCACATTTTTACTAAAGTGGATGAAAAGAGTTTGATGTTACTTTTGAGGTTTATCTCAGGCTCTTATCTCTGCCTTGACAGGAACAGATTTTGTTTTTGTCTGTTTTGTTTTGGGGGAAGGGTGTTTTACTTTGGGGGAAGGGTGTCCAAAATGCAAGAAATTAGCCTAGGATTCCTAGGATTCTTTTAGCACATTCATACCCTGTTCAGAACCCTCGGTGGCTCCCTTCTACGCCCAGCCTTTCAGCTTCCCAGCTTCACTTTTCATCGTGTTTGCATGCTACCTAGCCAGTGGAGGCTGTGTCTAGCACAATGGTTTGCTCTCCTCAGGCCTTCCCTCCCCATCCCATACACATGCCCTGTTCACTCCCACACATGCCCCTGTCTCCTTCCCTCATTGTGCTGTCAGTCATGGTGTTCCCTCATCTAGAAAGACCTCTACCCAGCCACGATTTGGGCCCTTTCTCCCCTGGAAGCCTGACTGCCCCCTCATTGTTGGGCCGGGCCTTTTCTTCTCAACTCTCACAACACTTGACATGAGACATCACCTCCTTCCTTGAGTTGTGTTAGTTGTGAGTTGTCCAAGCAGAATGTGTGCTCCTTCAGGGCAGAGCCTGTGCATCCACATTTCTATATACTCCACTGCGCCCAGCTCAGCATATAGCTTGCCACTGTGTGAATGCTCATTAATTGACTGTGTGGACAAAGTAGCAATAAGTCTTCCACCAGCCCTGCTTATAAGTCAGTGTTACTCTTGAACCAGATCCTCTCCCTCTTTGAAATCTGTTTGAATTTGCTCAGGCTTTTTAACATAGCTGAAGGGCAAAGTATTTTTGATGTGCATAATAAAGTGTGAAATTATATTATATTCCTCAACTACAAGAATGTAAAAAGAATGTACATGAAAAAATAAACTGGAAAGCAATATGCTAAAATTCAATCTTTTATATTTAATCCTTCCATGTGTTAGGATAATTCCATGTGTTAGGTAATTGGTGGTAAGGTTCTAGATTTGGTCATGTACCTATATTGCTTTTATAATGAAAATAAATTTTTTCTGTACTCTAGGAAAGAAATTATAATATTTACTTGAACCATACCATGTTATTGAAAGCAATACTCTTACACTGTGGGATCCCAGAAGATAAACTCAGTCAAGTCTACGTTATTTTGTATGATGCCGTGGTGAGCATTTAATTACTTTGACTTGATGCTGAAGGATAATAGTAATAGTGCATGAGCATTTCTTTCAGATGTAACTATAAAATTGAACTAGGAGTTTTGTCTCCTTCCCTCATTGCTCTCAGGTAAAAGAACCAATGGCTTTGATTATATCAACACTTAACACTGATATTGGTGAGCTTTTCTTCCGTATTAAGCCTTATACCACTAGTGACCTCCAGGCTGTTTTTTTTAAGGGTAACTTCTGATTTTAAAAGATCAAATTATCTTACTTAATTTGTAAGATAATAAAGTTCTTCACTAACCTTCTTGAGGCAAAAAAATCACTAAGTAATTGGTCCTGATTGCCAGTAGTAACCTTCATTGAGCACCTACCCACGTGCCAAGCGTTGTTCCAAGCTCTTCACATGGATTAACTCGCTCCATCATCACAGCAAGTGCTGTTATTTTACTTACTCTACAGAGGTCAAGAGAAAGACGTGTTAGTATTGAGAATAAAAGACTTATTATGCCCTGCCCTTAATTCTTCCAACCTGCCTGTGCTTATCAGTAGAGTCATTTATAGATGTGGATTGGCGAGTTGGGAGAGAGTGGTTCAGACCGCTGTTGAAGCCTCATTGACCACCTCCTTCCTGTGGGACTGGGGCAGCTGCACCTCCAGTTACTCTTTCTAATTTAGCCACAATCGTAGTATTCGTTACTCTGTAGTGTGTGCAGAGCCTGGAGGGGAAACGCTGAATATTTTGAATAATGTTATATTATGGTGCTGGGATAGATGTGAATGCTTGTCTGTTCTAATTTCTTTTCTTGTTAAATGTTTTTATAATAAATAAGAGGCATCCAGGAGATTCAATGACTAACATTGCCAGACAGTCTATGATTAAGGCAGAACAAATAGTGGAAGTCCATATGGCTTATTGTTTTTATACACCAGAAAGCTTAACTAGCTTTCCTTTTGTCTAGCAGGTACACATCGAAGACCCTAAGTTTACTGTTTGTTTCTTCGTGGTTCTCTCTTCCCCAAAAGAGCTGCATAGTTTGGCAGTGACAGATACAATATAATGTCAATCAGGCGCTGGCAGAAACCTCAGGGGTTGTGCAGAGGGGCGTCAGACCATTCTTGTTCATAGCCCACAGCCTAACTGCAGCGTGGGATGAAATGCTCAGAGCCTGTCAGTCCATGGTTTTTATCTGGGAAACTCGGGTCTGTTGACGTCCTCCCCACCCAGACACACACCCTGGTTAAGCCTGTCCGACTCGGGAGTGCCTCTCCAGTCAGCAAGTGCAGCTTTACCCTTTTTAATTCTTTCATGTCAGAGTTTTTCAAATTTTAAAACAATGTTAGTTGTAGTTTTATGTGAATTGGAAAAATAAAATGATTTTTAATCACGGAATTAACCCATCCTTCATGATTAGGAGCAATTTGTCCAGAATGAAGGATACATTTGTGAGAATTAGCCTGGGAATTGTATCTTGTTCAGGCCCAAATTTGGTCACTCTCATTGTTACCTTTTTCTTCTACATTAGACAGAAAAGCTGACGAGGAGAGAAGTGGAAGCTAAATTTTGTAATCTGTCTTTGTCTTCTAATAGCGTAAGTACCTTCTAACAGTGTTATTACAGCTTTCTCTAATTTTCTGATAGCAGAAAATGTCACCAAATTCTTGCTGCGGTAAGGCAGCAGCACTTCCTGCGCCTCACAGTTTTTCCCTTGAGCACTAATACGTACCATGGCAACCTCTGAGATTAGGGGAAGAGAGAAACTAGTGCTGTGATCAAAGAATGGCTCTCCCTGCTGCTGCGTAATGTGCTGTAATCATCCTGTTCTTGTTCCATCACCAGATACTTTTCTTTCACACCCTTCTAGAGGCTGCACTTGTAGAGCCTCCTGCTGAGCAGACCTAGTACTGGTTGTCCTCTTCTGCAGTAGAGGCTGGGGGACTAGAATGAGGCACGGAGCTCTGCAGATTCATTGGGTATCCACCCACCCACCCACCCACCCCACACTGGTCTTCTAACACCTCAGAGTTGAAATAAAGCTGCTGTTTTTCTGGTACATTTCCTACTCCTGAAATCTTGCATCTGATCCCATTGGCAATGACGAAACCCTCACGGGGTAAACAGTTTATTGTATTCTCTCTACAGGCATCAGATTGGTCCCAGATCTTTGGCGTAGTAACCCACACTTAACTGAGTCGCTCTGAAAAGCAGACGACAACAGAGATTTCTTACATTTTCCTGAATATTTATATAAAAAGAGGGATTTTTTTTTTTTTAACTTTCTCAGAACCCTTCTGGCCCTTGGGCTGACATTCAATTACATGATCCTGTGGTGATCAGCAGAATTCACATATGGGATAGATTAAAATATGATTGTACACAGGCCAGGCAGAGTTATTTGATCTTTTGGACGCCTACCGTGTGGCAGGCACAGTGCTAGGGATATAAAGAGGAGTAAGTGGAGGAGTCCACAGGCTGCTTTCAACTTCTTAATTCATGCTGGCCTTTAACAAGCCATGAGGGGGTACATGCAGCGTATAGCTACCCTCAGCTCTTTAAAACAGCTTTCACAGGACATACGTTGACCACAGTTTAAAGAAATCACCCGTGCAGTCTGCAGGTAGAGAAAGTAAACCAGATACGTAGCACTAGGAGTTCCACAAACTAAGCTGGTTTACATTTTAAATGTTAACTATTGGAGGAGATATTAATGATATGAAAAGTGACCCAATGGCATAATCTAATATGAAAAACGGTATTTACATAGTACCCTAGGCATGTACACAGCATATACCTATGTGCAGAGATAAGCTCGTGTACAAGTAGCACAAAGAATCTGCTCAAGGGACTGCCCCACTCAATCATTTCTTACCCGAAGGTTCAAGCCTAAAAGGTTTTTTGAATTAATGGCACATTTCAAAAATGTTTCACACTTGTACATGATATCTGCATTGGTTGCTGAAATGTTACCTTCTTTTCTTTTTGCTACATCTCTACCCACTGGTCATTTGATGATGATGAATATTAATTCAGAGTTGTGTGTTTGATTAGTTTACATGGAAAAATTAATATCTAATAAAAGCATTTGGTACTCTCGTTATTTAAAAAGGAAACTCTAAGGATATTAGAAAAGGCAGTAGAAATATTGTAAAAGAGTTTCAAATATCTGGCCCAGTTGTCTTATTTTATAGATGAGGCACCTGAGGCCCAAAGGGATAGTGTGACTTGTCCAGAGTTGATGGTAGAGTGAGGACCCAAACCTGGGGGTGTTGACGCTAGTGCTTCTGGTAGTTTATTAATGGGGGATTTTAATGTTAAAATTTATTGAGGGGCCAGTATGGTGGCATAGCGGTTAAGTTCACCTGCTCTGCTTCAGCGGCCCGGGGTACGCCAGTTCAGATCCTAGGCGCAGACCTACACACCACTCATCAAGCTGTGCTGAGGCGGCGTCCCACATAAAGCAACTAGAAGGATGTACAACTATGACATACAACTATCTACTGGGGCTTTGGGGAGAAAAAAAGAGAAAAAAAAAGGAGGAAGATTGGCAACAGATGTTAGCTTAGGGCCAATCTTCCTCAAAAAAAAAATTTATTGAGAAGAAAGAGTTTTTTATTTTATTAAGAAGAAAAAAATTTTAGAGATGTAATTTTAAATTTTAAAATGTTTATCTTTAGTAAAGAGATTATAAGAGATTTTAATACTTCTTGGATTTTTTAAAAATACAAGTGATTTATGATTACCGTATTAAGCTAAGTCTTTATTCAGCTCTTAGCTTCCATGTGCCAATTTATAATTGAACCAAGTTCTGCTTGCCTACAGTCTTAAAATAGCTATAATTTCGTTTCTTAATTTCCACTTGAGCTCCCAGGAGTTCTCTTTCTGGTTTTATGATCATAGTTATTTCCTCCTTCACTTGCTGTGTGGCTGGGATGGTGCCTGGCCCACAGATAGATCATCGCTAGCCACTGCCCTCTCTGGGGAAAACGGTGCATACAACTGGTGGGAGCTGGGCCCTGGGATCGAGGTCTGAGCCAGTGGGAAGGAAGGATCAGGAGGCTGCCTGTAGGAGATGACATCCAAGCTGCAGCCCAAGGCTACAAATAGGAATTATTCAAGCAACGGGACGAGAGGGAATTTCTGGCTAATTCAGTGTGGTATTGAACAAGTCAGACTTGGCCTTCCTGTCCCTGATTTATGTGCCTGTAGTAATGGGAATTCATGAGAATCAGGAAGGTAAAGAGGAACAGTGCTGGCTTAAAAATATGTAATGGAGGCTCTGCTAATGCCACGGTCTGCTCTGCTGGGGTCGGCATTAACTGTGAGTAAGTGTGTGTGACTAAAAACTAACTAGGAGTAGGTGCCTAGAGCACTTCTGTGAGGTGCTCTAGAGTTGTTGGAAAAGGATAATCCTTAGTCGAGATTGTAGTAAAGACTAAAAATACCTTTGAGCACGAAATCCCCCCTTTTGGAGGTACAAAAGCTCTGCCATGTCCCCCTGTGTATACGAAACACAGTGCAGAGTGAGTCTTCCCTGCAGTGGATTGGAAGCTAACGGTACCTCTTTGCTTTCCAGCTGTGTCGACTCTACAAATTTATTGAGCAGAAGGGAGATTTGCAAGATCTGACACCAACAATAAATTCATTAATAAAACAGAAAACAGGTGTTGCCCCATTGGTGAAGTATGGCTTAAAAGATCTAGAAGACGTTGTTGGACTGTTGAAGAAACTTGGCATAAAGTTACAGGTTTGGCAACTGTTTGCTTCTGGCAGTACAGATTTGTAGCATTAATAATAGCACCAGGGGGAAATGGGTTTTATTTCATTAATGCTAGTAAGTGTTTTATTTTTCCAGAACTCTGCTTTCTCTGTTTTGGAACATTTGATACCTAGTAATAATTTGGCTTAAATCAGAATTTCTTTGCAAGCATCACAGTTCCTATTGTGCAGCAATTCTTATTATGTCAGTTAGCCTCAGAGAAGTGGTTATTCTGGAAGAGAGCAGAGTTTCTTATTTGGCAGGCTATAGTTAAACAGACTTTGTGCCAAATCTTACTGAATATTTTGTCTATGCTAAGTAGATTGTTCTGATGCTATTGATGGAAAACTGCCCTTGACACGTTTGTGTGGCATTTCAATTTACAGGTCTTGATCAATTTGGGCTTGGTTTACAAGGTACAGCAGCACAACGGAATCATCTTCCAGTTTGTGGCGTTCATCAGACGGAGGCAAAGGGCTATATCTGAAATCCTGGCAGCTGGTGGCAGATATGACCTGCTGGTGAGGGCTTGCCCTGTATTTGTTGATTTATTCTGGCTTAATTGCATTTCTTCTTCAACTTATTTTGAAATTTTTCAAACCTACAGAAAATTGAACCAATAGTATAATTGAATATTTATAATAATTGTATATCTTTCATCTAGGAATAGAAATGTATTGTGAACTGCATTTGTAATCTTTTTAACGTTTATTTTAAAATAACTAGGTTTATAGGAAGCTGCAAAGGCAGTATAGAGATGTCTTGTGTACCTTTCACCCAGTTCCCTTGAATGGTTAAACTTGGCATAACTATAAAAAAATAGCAAAACCAAGAAATTGGTACACTGTATGTATATAATTCTGGGCCATTATCACATGTGTAGGTTCCCATAACCACCACCACCACAATCGAGATACAGAGCTGTTCGATCACAACAGAGATCTGTTGGTGTCAACATTTGCCAGTTCAAACGAAGGATAGAACCTTACCTCCCTTTAAGTCTCTTTACCTCAGCCCCCATTTATAATATAATTGTCTTAAATATTTCCTCTACGTAGATTAAAACCCACATCAGACAATGTTATGCTTTTTGCTTTGACTGTCAAACTCTGAGAAGCTCAAGAGGAGAAGAAAGTCTATTATATTTACCCAATAAGGGTGTGGGGGGTGGGGGGAAAGCATTACCCCTGGGCAGATATGAAAGTCCTGGCTCCCCACGTAGTCTTCTCTGATACCACCCTTCGAGGGGCCTGGTGGGAGACCTCCTTACATCTGGGTAGGGGTGAATGTGTCTTTTTTTTCCTGTGTTGTTTGGCTGGAGCAGAGTGCGTGTTGTCTGAAAGTTTTCTGTCCTGCCAGGTTGCCCCTTTCTTGGTCTTTTGGCCAGAGAGTGCAGGTTTCCCTGAGGCTTTTTTGTTGGTTCTCCGTGGCATTTCTGGGTTGCTGGTTTCTCTAGCACCCAATCCAGGATATGTGAGGCCAAGGCCAAACCCAGGGCACTCACTGTGTGTCCTGTGGCTCCTGGCCAGTATGCTGCCTTCTCTCCACTCCAGAGTCTTCTTAGGTTTGTTTTCTATGTAATTTCCAGGATTTTTAGCTGTACTTAGCAGGAGGAATACGGAGAAGTGTAACCACCCACCTTGGTCCAGAACCAAAACCTACATATGTAATTTTAAATTGCCTAGTAACATAAAGTAAGTAAAAATAAACAAGTGGAATTAATTTTAATAATATATTTTATTTAACCCAGTAGATCCAAAATGATCATTTCAATGTAATCAAAATTTTAAAAATTATTAAGGAGCTATTTTACATTCTGTTTTTCTTTCCAAGCGTTTGCAATCAGCATTTATTTAACCCAGTATACCCAAAATACTATTTCAACATGTAATCAAACATCTGAAACTTATTAATGAGCTATTTTATGTTCTTTTTTTTCATTCTGAGTCTTTACAACAGTGTGTATTTTACATATATAGCACATGTCCATTTGGATCAGCCATATATCAAATGCTCAAGCCACATGTGGCCAGTGGCTGCCACAATGAATGGTGCAGATCTAGATGCAACATTTGCTAACATTGTCCTAAATTGCACGCTGCTTGCTTCGCTCTCTCTTGCTACACACACACACACACACACTTCTTTTTGTTGAACCCTTTGATGATAAGTTGCTGACAGAGTGTGTGCCCTGTGTTCATTGCTTTCCCCATAATCATGGTTTCTTCTCTATTTCATAACCAGAGCTGTGTGTTTCTCTCCGCAGATTCCCCAGTTTAGAGGACCACAGGCTCTGGGGCCAGTTCCCACTGCCATTGGGGTCAGCATAGCTATAGACAAGATATCTGCCGCCGTCTTCAACATGGAAGAACCTGTAAGTTCCAGCTTTGCTTTCCAGTGTGCTTTGAGTCGTTTCTCATTTTGTAGTCGTTTACCTGGGGCCCCAGATGTGGCAGCTCTAGACTGAAGGTTCGGGAGATTATCTCTGCTGTGATAGACAAGCCTAACACCTGGTGACGGTCCTTGCAGTTCAGTCCTTAGCCTCTAGCTGGGGGACCTTAGACATTTCATCCATCCTTTCCTAGCCTCACTCCCCTTGTCTGTAATGCACTATGTAAATGTGAGATGGTATAGTTGTTAACAGACTCGTGTCAAAGCCCCCTTGTTCGGAAATCCTGCTGTACTCTACAAAGCTAGAAATGGTTCTTTTTCCTTTGTGTTTCAGGCAAGATTAGTTTTCCCACAGGAAAAGAATGTCTTCCTGATAGCTTAGGGTGGTTGAAATAATTTGTATCTTAAAAGGCTAATATAAGTTTTATTGACTGTCATTTTTTTTTCCTATGTCATTTTGGAGACTTCTGCATATATGTTGCTGTACAAGATTTCAAGGTGCCTATCTTCAAATGAGTGCCACCTCTGTCCTGGTGCTAGTCCCACCTACTCGCCCACAATCTCGCTCCTCTAAACATAACCACTCTGTTTCTGATCCAGGTTACAATAAGCTCTTGTGACCTCCTGGTCGTAAGCGTTGGCCAGATGTCCATGTCCAGGGCCATCAACCTAACCCAGAAACTCTGGACAGCGGGGATCACAGCAGAAATCATGTATGACTGGTCACAGGTAATGAGATAAGAGCACCTGTGAGTGGAGTGCATGTAGTCAGGGCTTCAATGGCGAATCACCCTCTGCGGCTTTAAGTTCTGTCAAACTCTGTTTATCTCTGTGGTTAGTGTTCCTTCCTGTATTCATTTCTGATCACTGCAGTAACCCTCCTGCTCCTTTCACATCACCTGTCAAGAGGTTTCTGAAGCGGCTGCTGTCCATTTTTGTGTGTTATATGAAAATTCATATCAGAAGTATGCTGAGCAGTAATTTCTAATCATTTGACAGAGCAATGTCCTCTTCCATTTGTCTAGTTGTTTCATAAATTGTTAGGGAAGTGTTCTGACCTACAGTAAAACATAAGCCCAGTCACGGTGACTTCAGACCTGCACAGTGGCATCCTCTCAGGCTCCTTTGCTCATGCTTCTTTGCTTTATGCTTCAGTTCTGCTTTCCACCTTCCACTATTTCTTTGGTTGCCATTGCTTTCCTCACAGGCCTTTTCTGTGTGTGTGTGTGTGTGTGTGTGTGTGTGTGTCTGTGTCTGTGTTGTATAATTTTTGGCACCCTCCATCAAGATTTGAAGGTTTTGAAAACCCCCTGCTGTGTCCTGACCACACTGATTGTCTGTGGCCCCTTAGAACAATAGTGAAAGTAAGGAAAGCAGGAGAGGTCTAATAAGACCTTAAAGGAGCAATAGCTCCTTTAAATTCTGTACTCTTCTTGCTTAATAGTTACAACCCCTGAAGGCAGCATGTTTAGTAATTCACTTTGAAATTAGAACACAGTGTTTTCATTCACTCGTGAGTTGAAGCTGCTCCAGGTGCTCTGTGTTTATTTCATAAGTGTGTGTGTTTCAGTCCCAAGAGGAATTACAGGAGTACTGCAGACATCATGAAATCACCTATGTGGCCCTGGTCTCAGATAAAGAAGGAAGCCACGTCAAGGTAAAGACTGGAGGAAATCTTTCACAATTCAACAGATTTCCAAAACTCTGTATTAACTGTAGAACACCCAAATTCCCACTGAGGCCCTGGTCTTGGGTGTGGGTGGAAGTGATTACTTTGCTCTCCCTCTGAATTTCTGGGCTTGTTATTGGAGAGAGTGTATAAAATAAGTAGGAGAGAATCTGAATCTGAACACTTTACTTAGAGCTTAAAAAAACAAAAATAAAAAACTGTGGCTGTAGTTTTTTCCTACTTTTCTCCCCTTGTTCTCTTTTTCCATCTGAGAAAATAAGAATAATTACTAGAGAAAATAAGAATAATAACTAGAGTTGATACTTGCTGACTAGCATATCTTCTGGCTGCTTACTAACTGGTTTTACTGTGTTGACTTTAGCTACAAATGCTCATAAATATAGCACCTTATAATCTTTATTTCTGTTTTTTAAGGAAAAAAATCAAAATCTATATTTTTCCCCTTGTTTTTCTCTTATAATGTCTTTGGTTTTGATATAAGGATAATCTTGGCTTCATAAAGTGAATTAGAATTTTCTGGAAGATTTTGTGTAGAATGATATTATTTCATCCTCAAATATTTGGTGGAATTCACCAGTACAGCCACATGGGCCTAGATATAGAGCTTATTCAGGTTGCCTCTTTCTTCTTGAGTGAGTTTTGGTAGTTTGTATCTTTCCAGAATGTTTCCATTTCATATGAGTTTTTAAATATTCCCTTGTTATCCTTCTACTCTCTGTAGGATCTGTACTGATATTACTCTTTCATTCCTGATATTGGTAATTTATGTCTTCCTTCTGTTTTCCCCGTCAGTGTGGCTAGAGGTTTATCGGTTTTGTCTTTTCAGAGAACTAGCTTTCGATGTCATTGATTTTTCTCTATTTTGTGTTCCTTTGTTTTCTATTTTATTGATTTCCATTCTTATTTTCTTTGTTCTTCTAATTTTTGATTTATTTTATTCTTTTTCTAGTTTCTTCAGACAGAACTTTAGATCAGGAGTTGACAAACTACAACCTACAGGCCAAATCTGGCCCACAGCTTATTTTTATGTGGCCTGTGAGCTACAAATTGTTTTTATATTCTTTGTAAAAAAAAAAAAAGAGGAAGAATATGTGACAGAGACAGTGTGTGACCTGCAAAGCCTAAAATGTTTACTGTCTGGCCCCTTACAGAAAAAAAATTGACTGGCACTTAGCTTAGATCATTGACTTTAGATTTTTTTCTTTTCTAAGTATAAGCATTTAATCCTATAAGTTTCACTCTAAGTACTGCATTAGTTGTATACCATACATTTTTGTGTATAGTGCTTTCATTTTCATTAAGTTCAGAATATTTTCTAATTTCCTTGATGATTTCTTCTTTGATCCATAGGTTTAGAAGCGTGTGGTTTAATTTCCAAACATCTGGGTATTTCCCAGATATCTTTAATGATTTCTAGTTTAACTCCTTTGTGCTCAGAGATCATACTCTGTATGATTTCAGTCCTTTAAATTTTGAGACACGTTTTTTTGTTGTTGTTGTTTGTTTTTTTTTTTATAATTTTTTTTTATTTATTTATTTCCCCCAAAGCCCCAGTAGATAGTTGTATGTCATAGTTGCACATCCTTCTAGTTGCTGTATGTGGGACGCGGCCTCAGCATGGCTGGAGAAGTGGTGCGTCGGTGCGCGCCTGGGATCCGAACCCGGGCCGCCAGCAGCAGAGCGCGCGCACTTAACCGCTAAGCCACGGGGCCGGCCCTTGAGACACGTTTTTAAATCCAAAATATGGTCTGTTGTGAATGTTTCATGTACACTTGAAAAGAATGTATACTGTGCATTGTTAGGAGGAGTGTTTGATAAATATCAACTAGGTCATGTTAGTTGATAGTGTTGCCTAAGTCTTCTATATCTTTACTAATTGTTTTGTCTACTTGTTCCATCAGTTACTGAGAGAGGAGTGTTGAAATCTCCAGCTATAATTGTAGGTTTATCTATTTCTCCTTTTAGTTCTATCAGTTTTTACTTCATGTGTTTTGAAGCTCTGTTATTCTGTGAATACACATTTAGGATTTTTGTGTCTTCTTGATGAATTGACCTCTTTATCATTATGAAATGTTCTTTATCCTTGGTAATATTTCTTGTTCTGAACTCTCTTGGTTAGTGTTCATATGACTTATCTTTTTCCATTCTATCTCTGTCTTTATATTTAAAGTGGGTTCCTTAGAGACGGTCACTAGTTGAGTTTTGTTTTTTTATTCACTCTGACAATCCCTGCCTTTTAATTGGAGTGGTTAGACCATTTATATGTAATGCAATTATTGAAATGGTTGAATTTAATCTACCATTTTACTATTTGTTTTCTGTTTGTTCCATCTGTTCTTTTTTCCATTTTTTCTCTTTTCATGCCTTCTTTTAGATTGAGTGTTTTTTAATTATTCCATTTTATCTCTACTGTTGGTTTCCTGACTATAACTTTCTTTTTTGGATGGGATTTTTTTAGTGACTTCTTTAGGGTTTATAGTATACTTCTTTACTAATCATATTCTCCCTTCAAAAAATGTTATGTGTTTTCACATATAGTATAAGAACCTTACAAAGAATACTTCCATTTCTCCTCTCTTATCTTTTGTACTATTGTTACCAAATATTGTTTTTCTATATATTTTATAAACCCCACAGTACATTGTTAATATTATGGTTTTAATTAGTCAGTTATCTTTTAAAGAGGTTTTTAAGTAAGGGGGAAAATGTCTTTTATATTTATCCTTATATTTACCATTTCTGGAACTGTTTATTCCTTTGTGATGTGATTCTGATTTCGTTTCCCTTCTGCCTGAAGAACTTCCTTTAATATTTCTGGTTGATGCAGGTCTCCTGGTGATGAATTCTCTCAGTTGTTATTGATCTGAAAAAGTCTTCATTTCACTTCATTTTTGCAAGTTATTTTTGCCAGGTATAGAACTCAAGATTTACATTTGTTTTCTTTTTGCACTTTGAAGTTGCGTTTTATTGTCTTCTGATCTGATAGTTTCTGTTAAAAAGTCTGCTTTGATCCTCTGTATGTAATGTATCTTTTTTTTTTTAATTTTATTTATTTATTTTTTTTCCCCCCAAAGCCCCAGTAGATAATTGTATGTCATAGCTGCACATCCCTCTAGCTACTGTATGTGGGACTCGGCCTCAGCATGGCCGGAGAAGTGGTGCATCGGTGCGTGCCCAGGATCCGAACCCAGGCTGCCAGCAGCGGAGTGTGCACACTTAACCGCTAAGCCATGGGGCCGGCCCTATGTATCTTTTTTTATTTTCTGGCAGCTTTTAAGATTTTCGTTTGTCACTGGTTTTCTATGATTTGAATATGATGTACCTCAGTGTAGTATTCTTTTAGTTTCTAATACTTGGTATTCCTGGGGCTTCTTTGACCTCTAGATTTATAGTACTCATCAAATTTGGAAAATTTTCTAATGTTATTTTTCGAAATATTTTTCTGTCCCTTCCCCCCTTTTCCTTCTGGGACTTGAATTACAGTAAGTTAATCATTTGATATTGCCCCACAGCTCACTGAGGCTCTCTTTTTTGTTTTGTTCTGTTTTTTCCCCCTCTCTCTCTGATTTATTCTGGATCCGTCACTGCTCTTTTCTGCAATATCTAATGTACTATTAATCCCATTCAGTGCATTTCTTATTTCAAATATTGCATTTTTTTTTATCTCACAAGTTACATTAATGTCTTTTTTTTAATGCCTTCCTTTTTTCTCATCATGGTTCTTATTTCCTTTACATTCTTTATAAGATTTATAATAGTTGTTTTAAGGTACTTGTCTACTAATTCCATCATCTCTGACATTTCTGGGTCTGTTTCTATCTATTGATATTTCCCCTGGGTATGAGTCATATTTTCCTACCACTTTGCATGCCTAGTAATTTTTGATTGGTTGTTGAACATTATGAATTTTACATTTTGGGGTGCTAGATTTTCTTATGTTTCTATAAATACTATTGGGCTTTGTTCTGGGATGTAGTTAAGATCCTTGTATAGTCATGCATCACTTAATGATGGGGATAAGTTCTGAGAAATGCATTGTTAGGTGATTTTGTAGTTGTGTGAACATCAGAGTCGACTTACACAAACCTAGATGGTATAGCCTGCTACACACTAGGCTATATGGTACTAATCTTATGGGACCAAAGTTCTATATGTGGTCTGTCATTGACCAAAACATCATTATGCAGTGCATGATTATATTCTGTTTTATCCTTTCCAGGCTTGATTTTAAGCTTTGTCAGGGCAGGTCCAGGGCAGCCTTTAGTCTGGGCCTAATTTAGCACCATTTCTAAGGCAAATTCCTATGGAGCATTCTGTCTGATGCCCTATGTATTATGAGGTCTCTCTACTCAGGTAAGAACAAGAACTATTCCAAGGCCTGTGAGTTCCAGAAATTATTACGTCTACTCATTTCTAGTGGCTGTATCCCCAGTCTTGGATAGTTTCCTCTCATGCATGCACAGATCACTTGTCTGCCAAAGATGTGAGTGGACTCCTCTGCAGAGCTTCAGAAATCTTTCTTTCTCTGTGAATGTATAGCTCTCTCCTCTTTGGTCCTCTGCCCCACAATTTCTAGCTAACTTGGCCTACCTAAACTCTAGTCTGTCTCCCCAGCTCGGCAAAACTCCTGGTCCCTGTTTGGGTTCCCCCTCCTTGCACTGCAGTCTGCAGACTTTCTCAACATACTAATCTGGGGCACTTGTAGGCTTACTTTGTTTCCCTTCTCTCAGGGATAATAGTCCTCCACTGCTTGTCCAGTGTCTGAAAACCATTGTTTATATGTTTTGTCTGGTTTTCTCTTTGTTTAAGGCGGGAGGACAATTCTCCTAGTTGTTAATCCTTCATGGGCAGATTTGGAAGTCTCCACTACTAGTCTGCTTGTTAGTCACAAAATCATAAATGACCCTAAGTTCCATTGATCAGGCCTCTTCCAGAGCAATGATTACTCCTGAAATATTACCAAGAGATGACTATCTCACCTCCGCTGGATAATTCCAATCTCATAATGCACTGCTATAATGATTAGCAAATTTTAAAACCTTGAATCAGAATCTGCTTCCCAAAATTCTCACTGGTCCTAGTGCTGCCCTTTGGAGTAGTCAAGATAACAAGTCTGATTCTTCCTCTTTCTCTCAACTACCTTCAAATAAATTTTAGGAGACAGCTGCCATGCCACTTTAAGTGTCCTCTTTTCTGGTTTAAACATTCCAGTTACTTAAGCCATTCCTCATAACATGGTTTCCAGATCCTTGACCCTCCTAGTTAACCTCCTCTAAACACACTTAACTTTGTCAATGTCTGTCTTTAAATGTGATACTAGAATTCTACAGAGCACTCTAAGCTTGTTTTGACTAAATGGGAAGGGTCTCTGACCTCCCTCAATCCAGATACCATATTTCTCCTAATACAGCCTATAGGTGAACTAAGTCTTAGCAGTCATGTGGTTCTGGCTCATACTGAATTGATCATCAACTAAAACCCATTGGGCTTTTCATAGTTATCGCTATGTCTGGCTGGCCTTCTACAATGAGGGCTTTAATTACAGGGCTTTATATTTATCTCTGTTAAATGTGATCTTGTTCCTTTCAGTACATCATTCCAGCCTGTCCAGTTCTTTTGAATCTTGCTTCTGCCTCTGTTAATAGTGGGTCAGTAGCATCACTTTCATATTTGAAGGGCAAGACATCACTTCATTAATCCATTCAGCAAATGCCTTTTAAGCATTCACAGTGTGGGAGGGATTGAATTTAGGGCCATGAAGGATATAGAAACAATTAAGCCACAGGTCCTGCTGTCAAGGATCCTATAATCTTGTAGAGAACATAAGACATTTATGCATGATTATGAGCTAGAAGATGCTAAATGCCATGAGGGTCCTACAGAGAAAGTTCTCTGAGGGTTCATTGGCCGGGGATATTACTTCAGAGGTAGCAGGCAAGTCTTTAGGGTAGAGGTGGGATTTATGCTGGACCCTCATAAAGTGGGTAGAGGTGAGCAGGAAATAGGTATGTGCTGAAAGGGCCTTTTAAGCAGAAGGAATAGAAAAGGTGATGGTAGTTCTTTCGGTAGATTGTCCCAAAGATAGAGGCAGGCCAGCAGAGAACTATTCTGGTATTACTCTGAATAATCTCTTTTGAGTGAAGCAGAGGATTGTTCTAAAGAAAGGCACTTCAGCAGGAGAGACTGGTTCTCGCTAGATCACGGAGAGCCAAGATGCCCAACCAAGGAATTTGGACTTTATTTAGCAGCTAGTGGGGAGCTCTTGTGTGTTTTGGACAGAAGGGGACATCAGAGTTGTATCTGCGAAAAAATTAATCTGCAGGGATGTGTAGCATGGAATGGAGTGAAGGAAAATTGAAGGCAGGGATAGCAGTGTGAAGAATATTTGACTATCCCAAGTCAAGGTTGGGTGCTGGCCATGGGAGTGAAGATGAAAGGGCAGGTACCATGAAAGTGGGATGACAGGACTTGGGTTTGGAGAGGAGAGGGAGGAGGTATAGAAACCTTGGTGACTGACCAGAGGATGGTTAAGGGGAAGAATGTATGAAGGAATCAAATGAAATAGGAGCTGGTTGGTCATGGCATTTTTTTTTTAATTATCATCTGTGATAAGATAGTCTACTCTAGACCAGGGTTTTTCAACAGCAGGGCTTTGACATTTTGGGCCAGATAATTCTTTGTGGTAGGGGCTGCCCTGTGCATTGTAGGATGTTTAGCAGCATCCCTGGCCTCTACCCACTAGATGCCGGTAGCACCCTCCACAGTTGTCACAACCAAAAATGTCTCCAAACATTGCCAGCTGTCCCAGAGGAGTGCAGCTGCCCCTGGTGGAGAACCACTGACCTAAATCATTGATTTAGTAGTCTTACTGTGGTACTCTGATTCAGCCTGTTGGCTTCAGAAACCTCCAGATGATGGATCTGTCTCATTCTTTTTAAGGTTAAGTCTTTTGAGAAGGAAAGGCAAACAGAGAAACGCGTACTGGAATCCGATCTTGTGGACCACGTGGTGCAGAAACTGAGGACTAAAGTCAGTGACGAAAGGACCATCAGGTAACTTAGTGAACCAAAGCCCCGAAAACCAGCTGCGACTACCTATATAGAAGTTACCTACGGTTATTTTAAAAGTCAATTTGATCCTTTGGGGAAATAAAGATAGGTCAGGAAAGCTTTTAATGAACCATTCTATTGCTTCTGAATAGCTCAGCAGTTTAATTATATGACCCCCTGTATAAGACTAATCATATCTCACTTTCAATGTTTGTTCTTCATAAGATGTCAAGTAATATTTTATCATTTTGAAAGGCCTAAGGAGCCAAAATCTGTCTGCCATTATCTACTTGCTCTGTTAATCAGCAAATTTCAGTAATATTTTGTCAATGTATTGAAAGATATAATATATTCTGGGAAAAGATCTCATATACTCATGATGGGAATGTAAATTGGTTCAACTCTCTGAATAAGAATTTAACAAAGTTAAAAAGCCTTAAAAATAAAAATAAAATTGACAGTTTTATTTTTATTGGCAATTGCACTTTCAGGAATTTATAGGAAAATTATTCCATGGGGATATATACAAAGATGTCTATCAAGGCATTGTTTATAACAGCAGTTCTCAAACTTTTTGGTCTCAGAACCCCTGTACACTCTTAAAAATTATTTGAGGACCCCAAAGAGCCAAAGAGCTTTGTTTATGTGAGTTATATCTATCAATAATTTCTGTTAGAAATTAAAACAAACATTTTTAAAATAACAATAAAAAACCCATTACATACTAACCTGAATTAACATATTTTCAATGGAAAATAACTATTTTCCAAAACAACATAAATTCAGTGAGGGGCATTGTTTCACATTTTTGCAGGTATCATTTATGCATTGTTTTACATTTTTGTAATCGCTTTAATGCCTTAATAGAAGAAACTAGATTGTCATATCTGCTTCTGCATTCATTCTGTTGTGATATCACACATCATGCAGTCTGGAAAATTCCATTGCACATTTCTGAGAAGGGGAGAGTAAAAAGGATAATTTACATCCTAGGATTATCATGAAAATAGTTTACCTTGCAGACCCCCTGTAAAGGATCTCAGGGACCTCCAGAGGTCCCTGGACCATATTTTGAGAATCTCTCACTTATAATATCACAATATTCATTGGTAGAAGATTGTTTGAATTATGGTAAATAGTGAAATACTGTGCAGACTTTAAAAATGCTGATTCTAATAAAGCTGAGTTTACTGACATGGAAAGATGTCCACAAATAGGATGTATGGTATGATCCCATTTGTTTCAACCAAAATACACAGCCTGTACATGGAAAAATGTCTGGAATGATGTGCCAGATTTTCAATTGTAGTTATTTCTGGTTAGTGGCATTATAAGGGATCTTGATTTTCTTTAAGTTTTTCTATATATTTGCAACTCTTTATATATGCTCATATTCAGAAAATATAGTACTCGACTGTTTTTGACTTTTATCAGCGATTTTTGCCCTCCAGGGGACATTCGGCAACGTTTGCAGACATTTTTGGTTGTCACAACTTGAGTGTGCTACTGGTATCTAGTAGAGACCAGAAATGCTGCTAAACATCCTACAATGCACAGGAATGACCCCCTCCCTCCCCCCACACCGCCAATAAAGAATTATTTGGTCCAAAATGTCATTAGTGCCAAGACTGAGAAATCCTGGCTTATATAAAATAAATGTTCTTGCTTTCTTCTCCCTCCCCAGCCCCCCACCCTTCCCATCTACACCTACCTTGAATATATTCACCATCAGGCTTTTTCTGAGGGAATGTACAGTCATGAGCCACATAATGATGTTTCGGTCAACAATGGACTGCATATGTGACGGTGGTCCCGTAAGATTAGTACCACATAGCCTAGGTGTCTAGTAGGCTCTACCATCTAGGTTTGTGTAAATACACTCTATGATGTTCACACAATGACGAAATTGCCTACAATGCACTTGTCAGAACATATCCCTGTCGTTACATGATGCATGACTGTAGTGTTCTTGAAGTCACCATGTATTAGAATTATAGATCCAAATCAAAGACAGGGGTTTAGAAGAGAAAACAAAAAATAATCAACGAATTAATAGTGAGTACAGGCGAACATTACTAAGACACTTTAAAGCCAGATGGGATTTAGTTTTAGCAGAGAAAGACTGAAAATCTTTCCTCCATGTGAATGATTATTACCCTGTTTTCCCAAGATAGAGTGCTATTGTGTCTCTCAAAGGCTGTAAATTAATTCACAGTCTTTGAAAGAACATCCATTCACAGCTTTTGAAAGAATATCCTTATTTACCAAATGTTCTCCTGGGGGTGCTCTCCAAGTTGCTGCCATAACGAAGGCAGGGCATGCCATTACTAATGTTTCCTTGTATTGTGAGGGGAGCGGGAAGAACACCCATTATATTCACTGCAATTAGCTTCTTATGTTGAGCCAGGATTGCAAACCCAGCTGAATAAATCAGAATGTTCTCTTTAGGCATTTGTTAATTCAAAATAATATCCTTTATAATTTTTACTTACTCTTGACCAAAAGCATAATTAAGTGCAAATTTTTTGTTGTGAGTTTTTGTTTTTCCTCCACTAATAACCAAGATTAAGTATTTTTATATTTAATAGAAAAAATGGCTCACTCTAAGTGTAGCTCACTGTAAATTATCTGTGTTGCTTTTGCCTTCCTGACTGTTTTCTAATTGTTTTTGTTTGCTTGTTTTTAGAGAAGCTTCCGATAATCTTGCAGTGCAAAATCTGAAGGGGTCATTTTCTAATGCTTCAGGTATAATTACTAAGTTGAACATAATAATGCTTGTGTGTTACTTATGTGTGTGTGTTTGCTCTAAGCACTTATGACTATGGCTAACTCCTTGTTGCATCAGAAATATATTTTTAAAGTAATATTAACAACAAATTGTACCAAATGGAAATTATCGCTATGCTTTGACACCCACATCCTAGAAAATGATAAAATGACTGGGAATTTAGTGACCCATCTGACCCTGGTATATCTCTGTCTTACTGTCTTATTTTTACAAGTGGTTTAATCTTCCTTCAACTGAGTTTATTGTATAGATTAAATGTGAATAATTTGCCTGGAAATTTTCCCCATAGAGAAGCTTGAAGAAAAGCATGTCTTTAGAGAAAGACATGTTGTTTTCATGAAAGCCAAGAGGGAACAGTGGTGATGATTATGCCTTTAGTCACATTGCATCCGTCAGCCTTACTGAAAAAGAAGCGTCCCAGTTAAATCCACAAGAAGGCATATTGGGCTTTTAACAGACTTGGATCTTTTTGGTTCGTTTCTGTTAACATTGACTTTGTGCCACCATTAGATTTCAAGTACTTTGAGGAATTTAAAGAACTATTAGTGTTTGGGAGATAAGAGTCTCATTTTCTTAGGTTCAGGAGGTTTTGGTGACTCCTATTACCTCACTATACCTTTGTCGGCCCCACCCTCACCCCCACCTGAGGAGACAAGGCTGGTGGTCTTGACAGAAGCTCAAAACTGCTGGATGTTGGGGTTTGGGCTCTTCCTGGGCAAGTGTGGGCAGTTGCAGAGAGAAAACAAGGCCCGGACATAACGTAGCCCTTAGAATCACACCAGAGTGGATTCTACTAACCATCTCCCCATCTCTCTCTGGTGTGTTATAGAAAGTGGGACCAGATAAGGCCATAAATTTTGAAACTGTTTGTTTCAGGTTTGTTTGAAATCCATGGAGCAACAGTTGTTCCCATTGTGAGTGTGATAGCCCCAGAGAAGCTGTCGGCCAGCACTAGGAGGCGGTATGAAACTCAGGTACCAGCTCAGAGCTGCTTTGGCTTTCTAATGGGAACTCCAAAGGAGGAAGCAAACAGGAAGGGAAAATAAGAACCATAGAGTTTCCTGGAAATATTTTTCTTCCCACTTCCCTAACTTGGTGGCTTCTGAAAATTTCATCAACACAAAGCATCTCTCTGGTGCCAGGATTCTGCCCCATCTGTCCTCCAAAGAGGCGTCAGTGTGCACTGTGGGCACCTAGAAGCAGCTATTGTCAGTACTACTGATCTAAACAAAAACTCTCTGATCTGGCTCTAATGGCAGATGGGGTTGGTTGGTTTGGTTTTAAATAACACAGCAGAAGAGATCTAGCACAGACCTGAGGCAGCTGTCTCGCTGCATACATGTCTTTGGTATCTGTTGTATGCCTGATTCTGTGCTAAGTGCTGTGTAAAATATAAAAGACATAGGACATGGCCCCAATCCTCAGAGAGTTTATAACCTGAGAAACATATGCATTATATAGTCAGGGAATGATAGAAGAAAATAAGAGAATGCTGAATTAAATATATTGAATGTAAGTGTTAGAGTGTGCTGCAGACACATGGCAGAGACAGAGATTAGTGTTTGCATGGATGATCAAGAACGGTTTCGTGAAGGTGATCCCTGAAGGGTTTAAATAGGCAGGGAGGAAAGATTAGGGTGTTCCAAATGGAAGGGACAGTAGGAAAAGCGTCCAGACAATGATCACAAGCACAGTCCAGACAGTGGCCTCACTTGGGAAGAGGGTGAGTGTTCGAGAGCAGTCATTATTTAGAAATATAATTATATTGAAATGCAAAAGATCAGGTACCTCATTTTTGTAAGCTCTCCTAGCTGTTTCTCAGGACGTTGGGTGGAAACTCGTTTTTCACATCTTTCTACTGCTTCCTTCAGCTACCATATTTCAGTTCCATGTTCTCATTGCTGTCACCTTCCCCTTTCTCCAAATTTAGCTTAATACTAAAATCACCCTACCTCCACATGCACTGTTTCACTCCACTGAGCTTTTATTAGGTGTTATTTCAAAATTATAAAGAAATAAGCAACCAAGTGGATTAAAAAATGATCAAGATAGGCTATAAAATCTTATTTCCCCTGAGATCATAACAGGCTAGATACTCATCCTTCTGAGGTGGATTGAGGGCAAGTCCTTAGATAGTATTTGGGATCCCTTCTAGGCTTTGGTTTGTCACCTGTGATTGTTTCCTGGAATAGGAAATAAAATGGCAAGAAAGATGGCTTGTTTGACAGGTTCTGAATTCTAACGTTTTCTTCTTGTCAGGTACAGACCCGGCTTCAGACGTCCCTTGCCAACTTACATCAGAAGAGCAGTGAAATTGAGATTTTGGCTGTAAGTCGCTTTCATTAACATTTTGAGGATGGCTTCTGTCCACACTGTCGAAGTCGTTTCCTCAGGGCTCAGGGCTTTTTGCTGTGTCAGCAGTGTGTGGGATGCGGACCTGTTATCACTAATGGGAACCATGTGTAACATTAATCTGTAAAGAACTGGGGAGAAAACTGAAGGTTTTGTTTGTTTCTCCTACTTTCTTCCTCTGAAAGATGGAGGGGGGAAGTGAAAATGAAAATCATCATTTTTCTAAATGTTTCAGGCCTTTGCCTCACTAAGCCTACCTGAGTGCAGGTAACAGCGTCAAACCTTTGGGATGTAAGGTGTGGGGACTGGAGTATTCATTCGCCAGGGCTGAGATCTTACACTGCACGTTCATCAAGTCTGCTCTATAGTACAGCAGCATCCCAGACCCTGCCAGCCCTATTCATGTTGCTCCATCCAGTGACACCATAGTCACAAGTCAATGTGTGCTGCCCAGGGTTCCCAGAGAGCTGACATACATCTTTGTGTATTGACAGGTGGATCTACCCAAAGAAACAATCTTACAGTTTTTATCATTAGAGGTAAGCAAGATGAACTCTTCGGCACTGTGGCCTTTGAAATCCCAAAGCTTTGCTCTTAATTTGCCAAAAGAAAATTAAAAATGGCATTATTTTCTTAGTGATATTAGGTGTTTTTCTGGCAGTTCCAGAGAATTTAGTAACATTGTTCCTTTTATGTGACATATGTATTACTAAATCAGATTTTGAGGGCATCATACTTTTCTAGTCACTTTCATTTAAATTTCAGAGATTACTTAAACACCTAGGGCTTTTACTGCTGTCAGGCTCTGGCAGGTCTTGTTCTAAGCATTTTACAACTATTAACTCATAGGGTTAATCATAGCAACCCTAAGAGGTAGGTACAATTATTATCCCCATTTTACAGATAAACGGAAGCATTTCTTTACATTTTACAGAGAACAGAAGCAGAGGTTAAATATCTTACTCAAGGTCACCCAACTAGTAAGTAGCAGAGGCAGGATTTGAGCCTAGGCAGACTAGTGGAATCTACATTCTTAACCACTATACTATGCTGCCTCAAACCTTCATTCCAACTAGAGAAGCTCATTTGTAGAACTAGAACTATATGGAAGATCTTTTTGTAAAAATTAATTTAGCTTCTTTTTTTACATGCTTCTTTATGGGTATATAGCCTTATTATCAAGTAATAAGCTTGATAAGAACTAATAAGAACTTTTTAAAATCTGAATTACATTATATTTACAGGTGATTTTTACAACATATCACATCAAAGAATATTTTTTTGTCTCTCCAGAGTGTTTAGTCACAGAATAAATTAGATGAAAAATGAACCTTGCACCAGAACTAACATTTCATACTACATTTTCTCTTATCATCTTATAAATAAGCATATACCACTATACTGGCAGTTTACTGCTTTATGATCCACTCAAAGGGATGCACAGCAGAGGTGGTATCTCCATTTCACACAGAGTAAATGACAGGCAGAAATACCTGGTCTAAAGTCACATTAGCACACTGGGGCTGCAGCATTGTTGATCAGGCTCTAAGGTCATTTTCTGTAAAGAAAATTGATGCTTCAAAGGAAGCACCAGAAGTCTCCCCACCAGTTCCACTATCTCCCTAGAACTGATTTCTTCAGTACACTTAAAGCGGGGAACGGCACTGGCATTTCATTTGTGACAGAAAAAGTTAATAAACCCTAGTACCCGTTGTCACGTCTTATCTGTTTTTTCCTAGTGGGATGCTGATGAACAGGCATTTAACACAACTGTGAAGCAGCTGCTGTCACGCCTGCCAAAGCAGAGATACCTCAAATTAGTGTGTGATGAAATTTATAACATCAAAGTAGAAAAAAAGTAAGTTATCACTTAGGCATTGAAGGTTTCAACTCAAGGAGTGGTTTTAAAGTGATAAATTTTCTTGTCTTGTTGAGATTTGATGGCTGATAAGCTGTTAGGTTAGAACTGCAACTGGTAACCAGTAAGTCTCGCTCAGGACTGTGAATCAGTCACGATCTTGTCAGTAACAAAACACAGTGGTCCCAGGAGTAGCTCTCCCAATTATAATTTAATTCACCCAGGTGGCTCCTAGAAATATGTTTAAATGAAAGAAAACAGCTTTGACTACTTTGCTTTATGTCCTCATGTCAGAATGCCAGTTGTTCATGTTATCCACTTAAAAGGTAACAACACAGCCTGTGAGGTGAACCGTGGTCTCATTATGTAGGACCGGATACTGCAGACCATTGCCAGTCATAGCTTCTGGAAAACTTATGTCATTTTTTAGTGACTAGCCTTCCATCTTGGTTTTGATTAAAAAAAACTACAGTTAAGTGTTCTAAAAATAATTTCTTAACTCTGTTCTTCACCCATTATATGATCCTACCTTTTCCCTTCTTTTGCAGGGTGTCTGTGCTATTCCTGTATAGCTACAGAGATGACTACTACAGAATCTTATTTTAATCCTAAAGAACAGTCATTACAGTGTTCAAGCAGACAGGAGCTTATACTATAAAAGGTTGTACGTAGATGTTAGCTCAGAGCCGGTCTTCCTCAGCAAAAAGAGGAGGATTAGCACAGATGTTAGCTCAGGGCTGATCTTCCTCACAAAAAAAAAAAAAAAAGGTTGTACATTCATTGTAATTTTAAATTAACTTTACATTCTGAGAAGCTGTCCTACAAAGTTGAGCTTTGTAAGTTTTTCATGTGTAATATATTATAAATTTATCTTTTTGAATATAATAAATGTTTTCATATATCTGCTGCTTTTTGATTACAAATCTATTTACACTAAAAGTTTTGTGGGGAACAAAAGAAAACAGCTTTCTTCTTCCCTTAGCCCAAATGACTGACTAAGCACATGAAAATTTCCAAACTAAACGGCATAAAGCAATCCAATATCATGATTAACTTGGAATCTTCATTTTTGGTGATTTTGTAATAAATATGCTTATCATTAGGTGGTTAAGCAACTCTAATTAATTTGGTTATGAGAACTCATTCAAATTTGCTAAAAGGAACTATAATGATAAAATTATACAGCCAGTGGGAAGAATACCCATGAGATAACACAACTTTTAATAAAATTGTCAGGATTCAGTTCCAATAACCTAGAAAATATGGCACAAGCCTATTCATAATCACTTCATTTCAGAATTAGTAGTTATTGCCAGAAACTATTAATATGGGGTGGGAAAAGGAATAAATAAGAGATGGTCAGTGCTGATAAACACAGGTTTAATGAAACGTTGCTCTTCACACAGATACAGAGACTTTAAACTATAATCCAGGAACATACAACCATGCAGCACAAAGAAACAATTAGCCAGATCTAAAATAAACCGACTTCTCACAACTACCCTATAAATACTGCAGCCCTTCTTCCATCCAAAATGACCCTAATCTCACATGAAAACAGTTACTGTAGGGGAACCAGAAACCTAGCTTTGTGGCCAAAAGTAAAAGCCAAAGGAAAAAGAGCATTCAGTGGCTAGTGGGTGAAAGCAGGCACTCGGGTGCCCTTCACTGTGCTGCTTTGCTCTTCTTACTCTTGCTCTTTTTGTCCCTCTTCTTCAGCCCGTCCATGTTGGCTCTCAAGAGGTTTGAATAAGCCTAAAAGACACAGAGCACGGCCTTAGTGGGAAGAGGTGCAGATTGGTGGAGCAGCTGCCTCATTTCCTGAAAGCATATCTGATAAAGCAGAGAATACAATGGGACCCTTGTGTCTGAGGGAAAATGGTCTACGTGGAAAACTCACATTATAGCACACAGCAAGTTACACATTATTTACTTGTTTTAAGCAAAAAGGGTAAACCGCAGGCAACTTGAACTATACTACAGGTAGAGTATATCTGATGCCTAAGACCATAAAATCTAGCTAAAAAATCTAAAAAGACGACAATATCAGTGTTGAAAGTAAAATGCATAGCCTGGCAGCTTTTACTGGTAAACTCTTGGTAAAATATCATAGGATAGGAGTGAACCTAAATATCAATCTTAACCCAGCGTTCTATGTTAGGCTGACTGACCCCTGCCCTGCGAAAGCGGACATAGGGAACACCAGAAACTCACCATCTGAAACTTATTGACTTCTTTGGAGCTCACCTGAAAAAGAAGGGGAGGAAAAAGTTCACCCCTATTATCCACATAGGAATCCTCTGCCTCACCCCAGATAATAACTCAAAAGGCTCATGAAGACAACATCCTAATCTTTAAAATATTTCTTCCCAACTTCCCGGGTCATAATACACTAAAGGCTATTTTTCTACTCCACTTTCCTCTGCCTAATGAACAAGCACAGTAGCTCTGCACTTTTTTCCACATGAGAATTGCACCAAGATGGGAAAGGGGCAGAAGTGGGCTCCTAAAGAAGCTGTGCTCACCTCTGTTGAAATCTCTTACATGCTTAGCATTGACTTATTCTCCCTGGGTTCTGAAAGATGTCAAAGGACTTAGTAGTAATCTTTTGTGCAAGACACATTCAAACTACTCCTTCCCCATCTTATTTTAAACCTTCCATTAATTTGGGCCTATTTAAGCAAAATGCAAGCTACCACAAGAGAAATCCGACCTCTGAAGATTCCTTAGGTTTTCGAATTTCATGGTACCCTACTTTACTTTTAAAAACCACATAAGCTTGCTTTACTGTAAAGTCCTCTCGAGATAAATGGTCAAGGGAGACTTACTAACTAATTATGGTCTATATTCTCATGAATATCCTATACTGATATGATTAGAGGACAGTCTGGTTCTGCCCCAGCAGAATAAAGGAATATTCATTTGGAATCCAGGGAGTCTCTTGCTTTGCCATATTCAACCTCCACTTTGAAAAAGGGAACACTAGGGATCTTGACTACATTTATACTCTCTCAAGTACCAAGCCTAACATTACAGCTACATGTTTGCTAATATGAAACATAAAGATAAGCGAATAATCAGCTTAAAAGTAAAAGCATCATCTGGTACCAAGAAACTGTTCATTGAAGGTCTAGCACACTAAGGGGATAAGGAATCAAATACTTATGCCAACTCCTCCTTAAAGTGCTACTTTGAGTGAGGACTGATATGCTAATTTTATTTCCACAAATATTTCAGCAGAACAAGTGAGTGAGTGACTTTTACCTTCTTCGTTTTAATTTTGCTTTGGAGTTTTCTACTACAAAGGTAATAAAAGAAGGCCCTGATCCCAAAACAGCTGGGGGGCTATGCACTTACTAGCCTTTATTTAAACAAAAACGACCTGGTTCAGATATGCCCCATCCTCAGTTAAGTTCAAGTCTTTAAACTCCACAACTGAAGTGTTAGAATCCAACTCACCACAGTGCTGATCTTCTTTTTCCCATCAGTAGCTCTCAACAGACACTTGTTGTCTGAGGGCTCAAAGCCCTCCACAGAACCTTTTCTTGGAATGGGTTTAGTTCGACCGTCATCTGCATGAAAAATACATCCCGGTGAACACAGCCACAGAGGTTGTTGACAGGCAGACAAAAAGTTACTAAGTCGAGAAGGGATCCGAAGGGGATACCTAATCCACCCCCACGGCTCTAGTTCTGTTAACCACCTCATCCACTATCACCGAGGACCGCGCAAAACCTTGGGAACTACGTACCACTTCCACGAATACTGTAATATCAGGGCAGATTAAATAATCGTGGCGGGGTTTGGGATCCTTGACCAAAAAAAACGAGCCATGACACGCCTGGGGCCCACTGTAACCGGAACCGGCCTAGGTAGCTAAGTGCTGGGGCCGCCCCAGCCACAATCCCCAATATTCCCCGGTCCTTCTGCCTGAATGTGCCCAATACAAGGTGGAGGAAGGTAGGGGAAGCGGGGATGCGGGGCAGATAGGCTCCGCCCGTGGCTCCCGGACACTGGGCACCCGGGCCGGGGCATCGCTCAGCCTCCTAGCGTCCTTCCGGTCTGACCGCCGCGACAGCTGCTTACACTTCTTCAGGGTGATGAACACGCTGCCCGACAAGCGGCACTTCTGGAAGAGCCTGGTCAGCTCCGTCAGGAACTGGAACACAACAAGCCCGGCCCCGTTAGGCAGACCCAAATCCCCGCCCCGCCGCGTCAAGTTCCAGTCCCTCCCGCAGAAGGAGACAGGGGTCCCGAGCTAAGCTCCGAACTGCATCTGTCCCTCGGCCGGCTAGCGCCGGTCATACCTGCTCGCTCTCCAGCAACACCATCCCGGCGCCGCAGGCTCCGCTCCGTCAGCAGAAGCCCCAAGCAGCTGGAGCCGGAAGTTTCGCCCAGGCTGGGCGGGACTTCCGCTAGTAGGTTCAACTGTCTTCCACCAATCCCGGTCTCCGCCCTCTCCCCGCCCCGCCTGCCCCGCGCCTGCGCTCTGGGACGCCACCCTCCCCGAGTCGGGGCTGGTGGGGTGGGTGAGGAACCCTCCGGAGGGCGGGAGGGCTGTGTGGGATTTCATAGACTGGAAATCCTCTCACCCCAGTCAGTGTGAGGGAGTGAGAGCGCGCGAAAGGAAGACTTGGTAGAAACGTATAGTTGTGTATATTCTGTATGTTGGGCAAGTTACCTAACAGTGCAGTACCTCAGTTTCCTCATCATTGAAGAGAGGATAATAACAGTATCCACTTAAGTGTGGTTGTGAAGAGTAAATAAATTTATATTAAACACCTAGAATAGTGCCTGGCACATAGAAAGTTATCGATAAGCGTTGGCTGTTATTGTTGTTTTCATTATCATTATTATCAATTCCCATGGCGGCCCTCTGAACTCTCCCTCTTCTCTGACAAGGCTGGGTGACCCTAAAGAGCCTCTGGCAAGAGGGACTGGAGCATGGTCTTAGCCTCACCTCTAGATTCAGTCAGGAGACCTGCGTTTGAGGCCTGGCTATGCCCGTAGCCAACTTGAACCCTAGGCCCTCTGTAAAGTCAAGCATTCAGTCATGCAAGCAGTTCTTACTGAGAGCCTCTTAGCCTGTGCCAGGCACTGTGGCAGGGGTTGGGGATGCTGCAGGATACAAGACAAGCTGAGTTCCTGGTTTCCTCGAACTTGAGTTCAAGGAGTAGGGAGGAAATAAACAATAAACAAGTAAGAAGTATAGCTTCAGATGATGATGAGGGCTGTGAAGACAACTAAACAGGGTGATAAAATTAGAGCCACAAGGGGGCTACTCTAGGTTGGGGTCAGGAATATCTCTCTGAGGAAGAGGACTTTGAGCTGAAAGCTAAAGAAAATAGCCATTCAAAGATCTGGGGACAGAGTGTTTCAGACTCAGGGAATGGCTAGAACAAAGGCTCCAAAAGGGAAACAAGTTGCCCTGTGTCCACAAGGCTGGGAATTGGGGGTGGGAGTGGAAAGGGTGTGTGGAAGAAGTGCAGGAGTATGGAGAGGTAGCCGGCGACCAGCTCGTACAGGGCCTTTGGCTATGGTAAGTTTGGATTTTGTTCCAGATACAAAGAGAAGCTTCTTGTTAAGGAAATTTTAAACAGGACAGTGACAATCTAATTTACATTTTTAAAAGATCCCTCTGTCTGTGGTGTGGAGAATGCACTGTAGAGAGACAAGGGAGGAAATGGGGAGACCAATTAGAGTAGAGGATTGTATCAGCTTCCTATTGCTGCTGTAACGAATCACCACAAACTTAGTGGCTTAAAACAACATGAATTTATTCTTTTATAGATCTGGAGGTCAGAAGTCTAAAATCAGTGTGTCTGCAGGGCTGCATTCCATCTGGAAGCTTCAGGGGGAAATCTGTTTACTTGCCCTTCTAGAAGCCACCTGCATTCCTTGGCTTGTGGCCCCTTCATCGCATCGTTACAACCTCCTGCTTCCATTGTCACATCTCCTGCTACTGACTCTGATCCTTCTGTTTCCCTCTTATAAGGACCTTGTGGTTACATTGGGCCTTCCTGGATAATCCAGGATAATCTCCCCATCTCAAAGCCCTTAATTTAATCACATCTGCAAAGTCTTTTAAATATGTAAGGTAACATAGTCACAGGTTCCAGGTATTGAGACATAGACATCTTTGGGGGTTGGGGGCTACCACAGAGGTTAATGCAAAAGTCCAGGTGCTAACACTTTTGCAGTCAGATTAGGGTTTACTTTCTTTGACTGTAGAGTCAACAGGACTCATGCTCAATTGGATGTGAACATTAACAGGAAAAGAGAAATTGGGGATGACTCATAGGTTTTTGATTTGAGCAGCTAGGTGGATGGTGGAGCCATTTACTAAGACAGGAAAGACTTGGGAAGTCAAAAGTTTTGTAAGAAGATGAAAAGTTTTGTTTTGGTCATGTAATATCTGAGATGCCTATTACATGTCCAAGTGGAACTATTAAGTAAGCAGCTGGATATACAAGTTTGGAGCTCATCGGAGAGGTAAGAGTTATAAATAAAAATTGAGGAGTCATCTTCATATGCCATGGGACTGGCACAGACTGGAACAGTCTGGTGAAAACCCCACCTATAGGGCTCAGGACCACTCTGCAATGACCACCACTATGAATAGCCTCTAAAGAGCCTTGTGCCTTGGAATCACTTGCTCAGAAGTCAAGAGTCCTGGTTGAGAGCCCCAGACTGGCCAACCCTAGGTCATATGCTTGAGCCCAAGTCCTGGGAGTGGGTGAGAGACTCTTATTTTCCTTGCCTTTCACGAAGACCCACACAATAGGGGATTACAAATAGGTTCAGATCCTGGAGAACCAAAAGCCAACATAGGTCTGCTATACAAGATCATCAGCCTAGGGTAAGAAGTGGGCAAAGGGTGCTGGACATTTGGAAGAAAGGGTGAAATCATCAGAGTGTGAACATATCTGAGATGTGTTGTCAGATTGCCAGGGAATGGGACGGCCCACTTGATGTTTGTGGTCAGGAATTGAAATGGAACCAGTTACATTGGCTGCAATGTAACTAGCGGCCAATGTAACCATTAGGCCAATCCTTAGATCACACAGCGCTGTGATCTAAGGGTTGGCCTAAATGATGACCGTTGTGCTCTGAGCTTCTGTCATGCGTTGAACGTTGAGCAATGCTCTTTAGAGCCACTGGGTTGGTGCTGGGGGCACCAGGGTGAAGAAAATGGCCCTGCCCTTGAAGAGCACAGAGCCTGGAGGCCATGATTAATCCAGGGATTAGTCCTCATCGTGGACACATCTCGCTGCTTCCCCTGGGCTCAGTCACACCTCGGTTCCACTCAAGAATCAAGTCATGCCAGCCACCCTGTGTGACATCTTAAGGCCATCCCATGACAGAATAAACCACTCTAGTAATGGAAATACCAAGTCTGCCAGTTTTAGCATCACACTTAGCCCAGCACAATTCAACTACTGACAGAGTGTTCTTTGGGCTCTGTTTTCCTGGGGGAAATTTGGGAAGAGCACCTATTCTGAGGTCCAAAGGGTCTGGGTTCAGATCCCACCTATGCTGCTTATTAATTAACATGACCTCAGGCAACCTCTCAAGGTCTAAATATCTTCATCAGCAAAATGACAATAATAATACTTATTTCATAGATGTTATAAAGATTTTATAAAATACTATACTTAAGACCATTAGGCTTGCTCTAATATGATAAATATGGATACTTAAATTTAAATTAATTAAAATTAAATAAAAGAAAAAAATCAATTCTTTAGTCTCACTAGCCACATTTCAGGGATTTAGTAGCCACGTGTGGCTTGGACAGTGCAGATATAGAGCATTTCTGTGATCTCAGATTCTATTGGACAGTACTACTGTGGACAGCATTAAGGCTGGCTCAAAGTGACTGCTCAATAAACAGTAATAAAGAGTGCTATCATTGATAGATCAGCCACCTCCCATCATTTGGACACCACCCTCTTGATTTCTGACATTATCCTAATACCACCTGTACTATTTTGTGTGTGTGTGTGTGTGTGTGTGTGTGTGTGTGTGTGAGGAGATCAGCCCTGTGCTAACATCTGCCAATCCTCCTCTTTTTTTCTGAGGAAGACTGGCCCTGGGCTAATGTCCGTGCCCATCTTCCTCCACTTTATATGGGACGCCGCCACAGCATGGCTTGCCAAGCAGTGCGTCGGTGTGCGCCCAGGATCCGAACCGGTGAACCCCGGGCTACCGCAGCAGAGCGCACGCACTTAACTGCTTGCGCCACCAGGCAGGCCCCAGCCACCTGTACTATTAGTTAATATTTTTCTGTAAGTTGACTCATTTTATACTTAAATAAGTTTATTTAATATCATTACCATAAATGGAAAACCAGTATCATTTGCCATAATTAAAAAGAATAATAAAAATAAGTACTATGAAACAAAATAATGTGGCTAAATTTTAAATTTTTAAATTAAAAACAATGAATAAAAGCAATAATGAAGCAAGTCAATTTATAAAAATATATATCAGAAAGTAAATTTCCCAATGGGAAAAAATGGAATTGCTTATGATCCATCAGGAATAAAAGTCACTCAGTGAACAATGAAATAGAGAGTCTATGTCAATAAGATATGGTTAAATTTTAATGTGGTCAAACACCCAAAATCCTACCTTGTAGTTAGGTTGGTGGCTTTGGGCCCTTGGAGCAGAGGAAGGTGTGAGGCAGGAAGCTGGGTCACCGTCTCCAAGTCACACCGGCCAGACACCTTCCCGCGTGTTCACCCTAGGAGAACTGGAAATGAAAATGGTTCCCAGATCCCTTCCCACATCCTGGGGCCTTCAGCATGGGCCTAGGCAGCACCCAGAGCAACATGGAGCTCCTTGGCACAGAACGCCAGCCTCTGCTGGACCAGCATCAGCTGCCTCTCCAAGTGCAGGGCTGCTTCCAGAAGACCTGGGAGAAAAAAAAAACACCCGGTGCTCCTCAGCAGCTAGGGGCCTGAGGGCCTGGAGGAGTCTCCCTGCTTGTACCACCTAAGATCGTCTCTCCCAAATGCTCACACGTCTCCCTTCCTCAGACAGAGAACAATTTAATTTATTAGGTTTTTTGTGTGTGTGTGAGGAAGATCAGCCCTGAGCTAACATCCATGCCAATCCTCCTCTTTTTGCTGAGGAAGACCAGCCCTGAGCTAACAGCTACTGCCAATCCTCCTCCTTTTTCTCCCCAAAGCCCCAGTAGATAGGTGTATGTCGTAGTTGCACATCCTGCTAGTTGCTGTATGTGGGACGCGACCTCAGCATGGCTGGGAGGAGCGGTGCGTCGGTGCATGCTGGGATCCAAACCTGGGCCACCAGTTGCGGAGCGCGTGCTCTTAAGTGCTAAGCCACGGGGCCGGCCCCTAATTTATTAGGTTTTAATCAGGGC